TGGTGAGAGTGGTAATACTGGGAGGGTGGAAGGAAGGTGGGGAGGAAAGGGGGAACCGATTACAAGGATCTACATATAACCTCCTCCCTGGGGGATGGACAACAGAAAGGTAGGTGAAGGGAGATGTCAAACAGTTTAAGATATGACAAAATAACAATAATTCATAAATTATCAAGGGTTCATGAGGGAGGGGGTACGGGGAGGGAGGAAGGGGACAAAATGAGCTGATATCAAGGTCTCAAGGAGAAAGCGAATGTTTTGTGAGTGAGGATGGCAACAGATGTACAAGTGTGCTTAACACAATGGATGGATGTATGGATTGTGATAAGAGTGATTATAAATCAATAAAATGATTTAAAAATTTTTTTAATTTAACTTTTTAAGCAGAGAAACTCAACTTGGATCTGGCCCTGGCGACTTCAAGGGCTTTCAGGCTCTCCACACGTATTCCCTTTATGTATCACCCTAAACCTTTCCTACTGCAACCAGGTTTCCTCCAGCAGCAAGGAAAGGAGATGATGTGGACCCATATGCTCTGAGTGTCTAGTTTTTCTAGTTCAAGAAACCCAGGAAAAAAAGCTGTGATCACCTCACATCCTTGTATAAAATCCTTAGTAAGAGCCTAGTAAGTAAACATGTACCTAATCCTAGACCAATTATTGTGGTCTGCAGGATGGAATGATGGGATGTGCCAAGGAGGTGAGTTGCTGTAATGGGACAGGAAGTCCCACCAGTTAGCATAAGTGAGTTAGCATGAAGTGAAGCAGGGACATTTTTCTGATAAATGTGTCCTCTTACCTGATGGAGCCAAGATGTGCTGGGCAGATAAACATGCATGTTCGCAAATGTCTTACTTGTGCCCATCCCCAAGCTAAGCTTCAGGAAAGATACACTTTGGTATAAGATGCACACTCTAATTTCAGAGAGTTGATCAAGGACCAATCACATGAATAAGTATTCTAATAAGTGTATCATGTAGGAATCTAATGGAACGAAGATGAGAAGTTTGGAGACAGAGATGACTGTGTGTGGCTTCAGCAGCTCTTTACCTGCATAGAGGTCCTCGGCATCTCTAATGCACACTTTGGCAGGAGATGGGGAGAAACCCAGCGCCCTGCTCAAAGAGTTCAGGTCTCCTCTCCAGGTCCAGCTCTGTCCCTACAGATCTGTTGTGTGTACCTCTAACCTCTCTAGACCTTTATTTTCTAGTTTGTAATATGTAAATATTATTAGTTGAAAATCAAATGAGATCAGTGACGTGCCTTAAATCACTATCCAGTTGAAAGAGCTAAACCCAGGAGACTTCCACACTAAGCCAGGGCATGTTGTTAGTTGCTGTCAAGTGTAATTCAACTCATGGCGACCCCACGTGACAGAAGCCTCATAGGACTTTCTAGGTCTTGGGGCTGTCGTGCGTTGTACGTTGGGACTTAACCACTAGTTCAGCGCTTCAAATGCACCAGCTGCTCCACAGGAAAAGGATGAGACTTTGCTCCCTTACAGATGTACAGCCTGGGAAGCACACGGACAGTTCGACTGTCCTATATGGTCACTGTGAGTCGGAATTGAGGTTTGCGTTCAATGCCTATGGGAGTGGATTGCCAGGCCTTTCTCCCATGGAACCCCTGGGTGGGTTTGATCTGCCAACTTTTGGGTTAGCCACCACGTATTTTATTCTTGCACCATCTTAAACCACAGTATATGGTGGGTCAAAGAAGGTACCCATCACCACTTTTCTGATGGAGATAGTACCAGCACCCAGATGGAAGGAGCGCGAGAGGAGTTGTATGATGTTCTAATACCTCTTCAAAATTGAGTCCCTGTCCTCCTCTGCGTGTGTAAAATGAGCTCCCTTCCTGCGGGGCATTGATTTCACTGTAATTCCCTAGTTGCTTGCTGGGTGGACTGGTGTGTTGAGGGGAACAGCTCACTCCATCCAGACTTAACAGTACTCTGAGTTCACGCTAACCAATTAGGGAAAAATTTGCCCCTGTTGTCATTTTTAAAGAAAAGATTCAAGTCTAAAATGATACATCTCTTCTATAGCCCTTGTTAATAACCCGGTGTTGCTGAAAAAGAATCTAGGAAACAGGTTGTGGATATCTGTGATCATTTCTCTCCAAATGCACAGAGATTGGGGAAAATATTCAGAACAAAGAAGAGGAATTTCAAGAAGCTCTACTCAAACATCGCATTGCAAAAGCAGAAGCAGACTTGTGGGTTAAGGTAAGATAAAGGAGAGTCAATTCCTGGCTAGAGGGGATGCCCGTGTTAAGAGGGGTGAAGGGGAAAACAATATACAACAAGAGGAACGGTAGTCAAAAATGCCGAAGGCAGAGGGAGGTACTGGGAGGAGTTCAAGAGTTAAAGGCAGCAGAGACAAATACTGTTATATACCTGGTCTTGCAATAGTAGTCAGTAATGCATAGATACCTGGATCAACAGACATGTAGACTGAAAGCTTACAGGCTTGATGGAGGATATTTGTATATATGTATTTACCTTTGCTGGAAATCTACCCGCATACAGGGGGAAGAGTGATGAAAATGTCTTTTACAGAACCAAGAATCTTGAGACAGTAAGCCAATGGCCTGAGGGCTCAGAACCATAGTGTCCGTGGTCACCAAGGGGAGTTAGCATAACGGAGTCCACAAAAACAGTGTTCTACATTCACCTGGGGGTACGGCTGGTCTTAAAAGCTGTACCATCTAAGGTACAACTATTGGTCTCTCCCTGTCCAGAGGAAGGAAGAGGAAAAAAAATTGAAGACACATGGACATAATTAGTCCGTTGGACTAATGGACCCTGTGCACATTGTTCTCGACAAAACAGACCAGAACTAGATGGTGCCAGCCACCATTTCCAACGTCTCTGAAAGGAATCGCATTCCGACATGCTAGAATGAGTGGGAGAAAACTGGGACAAGACTCAAAATCATGAAAAAGACCAACCAGGCTTACTGGTCTGATAGACACTGGTGGAACCACAGACACTATGGCTCTTGGTCTGTAAATAAACCCACTTCCAGGATCCAATTTTCAGCCAAATAGACAGGTCTCTGAGGGGCAGTGTTTCATTCTGTTGTGCACAGGGTCTTTATGAATCAGAACAGACTCAACGGCACCGAACACCACCACTAACAATAAGGGGAGCAATAACTCTAGCTAGATGCACACACCTTAGAAGAATCAACCATTTACAGTATTTGCCCAAGGACAAAATTCACATGGGTTAGAAACAAAAGGAATGGAAACAGGAAACAAGGAGGAAGTGGGATAAGTGACGTGACAGTGTGAGGATCGTAATCAAAGCCATGAAACAAAATGCGTAAGAATTGTTGTTGGAAAACGTACCTGCTCTGTAAGCCCTCACCCAATTCAGGCATAAACAAAACTTGTTCTAGAGTTGATTGTGGTGACGGTTGCACAACTCTGTGAATCTGCTAAAAACCAATCAATTGTATACTCTAAAAAACCAACAAAAACAAAAAGTTATAATCTACCTAAAATGCATCTATATTTCTTTCACTGTATTGATTTGTTTCAAATGGTAACAGCACAGTCGACATTCTTGCATGACGCTGATTTTTCATGTAACAAACTGGTCTTCGGGACCTAACTGTGATGTGAGGAATTGTTATATCTATTTTGATTAGCAGGCAAGACGTGACGAGGAGAAAAGAAGCTAGCCGCCTTTAGTAAAGCTGCCTCCTTAGCAACATCTGAAGCAGTAATAGAACCCAGATATGGGGATATCTTAAGCATCTCTGGCAAAAGTAGCTACTTAGCTATGGAAAGTTTTAAATGGGAACAGAACAAGTAATTACGGGCCATATAGTCATTGTTTATTTATAGTAAACTTGATAACCTGATTTACTAATATCCTAAATAGTGGTGATTTATTCTACATTCATCATGATGGATTTCTCCCCCCATTTTAAAGGCCGAGGAACACCAAAAACAAGCTGTGGAAAAAGCACTTGAAGAAGCAAATGAAAAGCACAAAATTGACCTTCTAAATATGGAAGAGACACATAAAAAAAATCTACAGGTTTTTAAATGGACTTTTGTTGTCTTTTAAAAAGTATTTAAGTTAGTGAAAGCCTTGGCAAAGGTTGGTGTTTGGAGCCCTGTTGGGGTAGTGATTATGCTTGGGCTGCTCACTGCAGGGTCAACAGTTTGAAACCACCAGCCACTCCATGAGAGAAAGACTGGGCTTTCTTCTTCCATAAAGAGTTACAGTCTTGGAAACTCACAGGGGCAGTTCTACCCTGTTCTATAGGGTCACTAGGAGCTGGCATCGACTCGACGGCAATCAGTTAGTTAGTTGGTGAGGTTGGTGTTGGTGATGCTCTACTAGTAATCACATCATCAGAAATTAACCTAGATTCCTTAGTCATAAAGACCAGGACCCATCCAAAGGTGATTCCCTATGAAGTAGAGGTCAAATGAACATCTTCTCTCCAACTTCTTTACCATTTCTGACTCTTGCTGCCCACCCACAGCATTCTCTATCTCCCTGCTAGGTTCAGTAATTTGTTGTACTGGCTATACAGAATTCATAGACTATACTTAATTCAGTGATTTATTAAGGAAGTAATAGGATACAACTTGAGATCAAGATTAACAAGCTACAAGTCCGGATCAGGATCAGGAAGCATGTAGGCAAACAAGCCCCCTCTCCACCATTCATGCCCTCTGTTAGCGCTGCAGGCCCCGCTCAGCCTCCTCTGCACAGGCCTCCTCTTGGCCCTCTCTGGAAAGACCTCTTGGCGCTAGATGCCCCCATTCAGCTGTGCAAGCCTCTTTGCCATTGACTTGCTACCCTCCGCCTCTTCTCCATTGCTAACTGGAGCACCTTTGCTCAGCTCCAGCGGCAGCTTCGTCGTCACCACTAGCTCTCTCTCTCACGCTGTCCCTCCTGGGATTCTCTCGGCCAACTCTGGCACAAGACTTCTTCCAGGAACCACGCTGTCCTCAGTATTGCAGCTCTTGATTCGTGCGAAAGCTTTTTGGGAGGATCATTTATCGCTGTCTTTTTCTTTGTGCCTCTCATCTTTTCTCCTTTCGTTTGTCTTCTTTATGGCACCTCTATGGATGTGCTAGATATACTCCTATGTGCACACTCACTATTAATTTCAAGGCATGGCCCTCTGCAGTAAATGGGGTGGGGACCCTATTTGGCCTTTTCTGGCTTCTCTATTGCCACAAAGCAAAGGTCAGACTTACTTCCACGGGCCATTCTTCTTATTTTCTCTTTTCTGAAAACAAGTTTTCTTTACATGAAAAGTTCAACTGTATTATATAACATTCACACTGACGGAGAACAATAACCAGTTGCCACTTCACATGACATTGGGCAGCGGTTGCCAGTGAGTTGAACATTCTACAGCTAGTACATCAGTGGAACATTTGTTCTCTTGTCAAAAGCTAACTCTAGTTGAATGGTATGCTCACACTCTGGTGATCGCTGGACACCCCTTAGCTAGGATATGTCTGGTCAAAAAGGACACATGAGAAGCTAGATAGTCTTATCACCTCACCGGAGGGAAAAAGGCCTCTCCTAAGGTTGGACCAGGGGATCTTTGGTAGCAAAAGTTCCCTCTAGAGTACAGCTGTCTCATCCCATCCCCTCCTCTTGGGTCTCTTGAAAGGGTCCAGATGGAGGATGCCATTTCTGAGGGAAGGGGAGCTTCTGTCCAGACATAGCCATCTGAGAACTTGGGGCACCGAGCTGGGCGGAAATGAGGTTGTTTTTTTCAGATTGGGTTACTGTCTGGTGCCTGCTACTTGACCTGCTTACATGAGGGATTTCAAGACTGGGCAGCATGGCTCTGTTCAGTTTATTGCATGAAGGCATTGCACTAGTCCAAGTTAGACGTGAACCCCAAATGGTTACATTACACAAGAGTAAGACCGAGAGTATTGCTGTGCAATCATAAAGCCTTGACCAAACAAAAATATCAAAAATAAAGCTACTGTTTACTGACAGAGTCTGCATTTTAGTCTATACACTTAAAAAAATCGGTCTGTACACTTCTGTAGGTGTTGCTTCTAGCTCTCTAACACTTCTTCCCCAAACTCCCCTTCCTCTGATTTATGCCATGTCAAAATGGCAGTTTTGCATCCTTGAAGGATTCAGATAATGTCCCTTTTAAATGTTCTCATTCTTTCCATAGAATCATCTTCAATAGCTTTAGTCTGGCTTAGAAGACTGATGGAAAGACCAGGCCTTTGAGCCAGCTGATCTTCCCACAATGCATTCGGCTTCCGTCAAGCCAAAAGCTGGCTGAGTCCCATTCATTTGGGTTAAAACTGAAACTGTAGAATCACGTGGGATCTACGGCTTTAGGAGCTGTCAGCGGTCAATCTATTGTCATCGGCCCATAGTTTCTAGACTTCAGCCAGTTTCTTCATTTGTTGAAGTTGATGGTCTTCCATTTTTTGACTCATCTCTGAGGTCTTCCTGACTTTCCTTGAAATGCTTTATCCATTTAGAAACTGTTGTTTTCCGGAGAGTGGGGGCAGCATTCCTGTCAGCTTGGTGCAACGCTTCATTGATTTGGGGATATGCCCACTTGAGTCTGATTAAAAATTTGATTTAACCTTGACCTCAAAACCATTTTTCTCATGGCACAAAAATATCTTTTTTTTTAAAGTTCCACAAGGCTAAGACAGTGGATTATTGAGGAGAATCAATAACTCCCTCGCTGACTGCTCGTATCGATGTCCATGGATGACCCGGAGCCTTTGCAGCAATACTTTTAACTAACTGTCCTACATGCTGTGAGATTTAAAACTCATGACAAGGGACAGAGGGGACATTTCTTCTCGTTGCAAGGAATTCCTCACTTAAGTTTCAATGAGCCGCAAGCACTTAAAACCCATGAACCTCCAGCTGGTCGTCCTCAGCCAGTCCAGTCTCCACAAGAAACTGGCCTATGTGCTTGTGCTGGTCACCCTGTAGCTGAATCACTTCTCCATAGTCTGATCTCTAGCCTCTTTCATCAGCGATCCTCTGGACCTTCCTGCCATTTCTTTGTTGAGCTCTTATGTGGAGATAATCCTTGGTCACAAGAGGAAGCATTACCCTTACTCGCATCAACAAAGGGGTCGAAAGAGGGGAAGTTCTAGAGAGTGGACGTTTGACTCCCTTTCTTTATGGCCTGAGGAAGGCAGCAGCTGCAGGGGAAGGGGGAGGGGGGCAGGGACGACGGGTACCAACGTTCTGCGTTGTCAGCCTTGACTCAACAGCGGGCCACGCATGCTCTATCCTCCTTTACCGATCCCGACACCAACTGCTCTTCACCTCTATGCCGAGTTCAAGAACGCATGGCAATGGCCACACAGAACTCACAGACAACACTCACGATGAAGGCGGTTTATTGGAGGCGGTAGGAAGTGATCAAAAGGAAGGATACAGCCATCGGTCCACAGCAACGCCTCTCCGCAGCCAGCCTCTCAGCCTCTGCCTTCCTGGACCAGGAAGCCTGCCTGGGGCTCTCAAAGCCCATAGGCTCAGCACTGAGCCTCTCTCTCGCTACTGCCTCTCCCCTGTCTCACTGCCTATCTTTGAGCCCTCCATCCTGAACACACCACACTCCTAGCTTCATTGTGTTTTCCAGAATGTTCTTCCCGTGCCTCCATCTGGCTCACCATCCTTCAGACCTTAGCTCAAACAGAACTTCCTAAGGGGAGCTTCCCAGGGCTGAATTCGAGATGGGTGCTCATACGTTGTCCGTGAAAGCCCCTTCTTGGTTATAGCAGTCAGTGCAGTTGTGAAGATTGAGTGATGTGTTCAGTTGTTTAACATCCCACTCTTCCCCCATGACTGCAGCCTCCCGAAGGGCACACCTGTCCTGTCACTGCTTTTGCCTGTGCCCAGCACACGACCTTGACTCAGGGTTTAAAGAGTTGTTGGAGGAATGGAGCAAGCTGTCCTTGTCCTTCCCCTGGGTTTTCTGATTGCATCCAGTCTGGGAATCGACATTTCCCACAGTACAGAGAGGGAAGCTGCATTCTCCCTCAAGTATTTCCTTCAGGGCCAGAGGTCAAAACGGGAGCGGAACGCTCTCTAACCTGTGAGTGGCTCAAGCACCCCAGGCTTGGTAAACAGTAAGCTTTCTGGGCAGAGAACTCTGAGCATAGTTCAGTACCTGAGTTATAAAATCTGTGAGAGCAACACGATACAGAAATCCGTTCTCCTTTAGTTTGGCTGACAAAAGGGCAGGACAGGATGTGGTTCAGGTATGCTGATGCATGGACGGAGGCCGGAAGGCAAGTGGCAGAGGCCCGCCTTAGGTTTGACCTCACTTAATGAGAACATCATCAGCAAACAGGTCCGGATTACCGGCCCATCTAGTCGTGTGGCAGTCCGTTATTTATTGTTCAAACAGTGAGCATCTACCATAGTTCGGATCTGAACTTGGTGAAAACCTCCTTAGCCACAGAAGTGGGAGCATTGATGGTGCAGTTGGTTACATGTTGGGCTGCTAACTGCAAGGTTGGATTTTCAAACCCTCTTGCCACTCTGTGGGAGAAAGTGAGGCTATCCATTCTCATAAAGATCTACCGCCTCAAAAAAAAAAAGTCTCAGAAACCCTAAGGAGTTTGTACTCTGTCCTATAGAGTCGCAGGGTCGGAATCAACTGAGGGTGGGGTTGGTTCTCTGAAGACTTGCTGACAGAAATGGGGCTTCATCCCTGGCTCTCAACATGGTGGTGTAGTGCTCACTCCTTGGCTCCAGACCAGTCCCTGAGGGTTTGCCTGAGTAGCCCGCTGGCTATCTTGTTGCAGTTCAAAGTATGAAAAGTGTATGCAGCATGTCTTAGGCAGGTCTCCTTCTCAGCTGGCAGGTGTCAGTATGGTCATACTGGTTCCTACAGGATGGAGAGACTGCTCTGTGAGTTGATAATTAGCCACGCCCCAAGCCTCCCACCATCTGGGTTCTCCTGGCTACTTCCCTGTGCTGCTCCCTGCTGGCCATCTCCCCACCTCCATCACCTCCCTCAGGCTAACAATTATAAAGGAGAACTCTTGGCAGGTGTCTCCAGAGCCCTGACCCAGCCCTGCTACAGCCAGGGCCATTCTGCTATAAGCTATCCACACCCTACCTTCCTTTCATCATCCGATTGCACCCCATATAACCTTCAGGTGGAACTGATGCATTTAGTGCTGCAGTGGAAAGAAATCCCAAGACTGGGTAGGCAAAACATTGTAGGGGGGTTGGCCTTTCTGAAATTGATGCCTGTGGTTTGAGAGTGTATGCGGAAACCATCTCCGGGGTGTTTATGAGGCACTGATTTGTCTGGAGGACTGTGCAGGATTGTTATTTCATCTGTGAGATGCACACCTCAGTGGAGCACACTAGGGGCTGCCTTTAAACCACCAGCTCACCTGGGCCTTCACCTGCAGGTTTCTGGGCCCTCTCTGACCTACAGAAACAGAATCGCCCGCAGCATGTTTCACTCATGGCCCAGGTGATCCTCAACGTCTGAGATGTCCAATCTACAGCATGACAAAACCAAAACAAAAACCCCAAGTTCTTTTAGAAGATCAAATGATACATTCTGGTATGTAGAGACTAGTGAGGATCGTTTTTCTATCATGTTAGGAGTTGGATATGTCTTAGAGGCTTACTATTAGATAAAGTTTAGCGATCTTATCCCAAGGACAGGTGGTGCTTTGAGAATGTTGTTTATATTACCTTGTTCAAGGGCAGTAATTTTAAAAAGGAAATGAAAAAGATGGAAGCTAAGATAAAGTAAGAATAAATAAGGTCGGAAGAGTACTGAAGTCAGGGTCAATTTAAAACTCGGTGGAAGCCTGGAGGTGCAGGGCAGTGACCACTGGTGTTTCCTGGAGCTTTGTAGCCAAGAATGCCAACAGGGAAGGTCCCTGAGTCCCTATGACTGATACGAGAGGCGTTGTGACGCCTGAGAGGAACCTCCCGAGTTGGCCGAACAGCTCTACAGTAACCATGGTGGGTTTCTGGAGGCCACTGCTTATAACATCTTGAAATGTGAACTGGGGCACTCGAACTGCGTTCGAGTAAATGTAATTTCATCAGGAAACCCATTGTAGAACTCAAATTTTGAATTCCTTTTGTAGCTTTAAGTGTGTATAGGTTTCCTTCTCTACCCCCAAATTCAGGTGCTCCTATAAAACCTTTTGTAACCCAAATGTCCTAAAATAATGCCAGCACCGTAAAAGTAAGCTGGAAACGAGGTACGCATGGTGTCGTTCTCCAGAAAGGCGCTGGAAGGTTTCCCATTCGCTGCTGGGTGCATGCACCCTCTAGTGCTCACTGCAAGCTTTGATTCCCCCCTTCACATGTCTCTCAAGTTAGTGAACACGGGTCCTTTAGTAGGCCCTCTTTCGCAAAAGCAAAGTGGCACAAGGTGAACTTTTGAAAAGCAGTGGATACTTGTGTTTCATGATCTCTGTGACCTCTTTAAAAGGAATTTTGGTTTTGCTAAATCACTACATTGAGGAAAGGCTACATTTTGCACTCTTAAGTGATAGCTTAGAATACTATAAAAATAAAGGGCGAGGATACAATTTATGGATACAGGATTCAGATAGAAATACATTCTTAATGGCAATATTTCACCAAACTGAATTTCAATGACCTAGCAATTCCAGCTATTGGTAGTCTAATTAAAGTCCAGACATAAGTTAAAATGTCCCCTAAGGAGTCAGATAAAGGCCCCTGACTCCAAAATAAACCCAGCCTTGTCTAGAGCGGAGCTTCTCTATTCCCCACTCAGACCTGCGTCAGCTCACTGCACAACCTGAACCTCCCCGACTGGGCTGTTGAATTTCCCCTGTGGGAGATCCGTGAGATACTGGGCACTAGCAGTGGTGGGAAGAGCCCGACTGGCCGCAGTAAAGATGAAGAGTCCTCCACTCGATGGCCTGGGAAGAATCGGGCCATTCCTAAGAAGCTGCCATCAAATCTCCAAACGCACACATCAGAGATCCTTTAAGTAACAGACAAATGGCCCTACAAACTTGAGCAATTACTGTGTATAAGTCCACATTTTTCCCTCCACACAATAATTCATCTTTGTCTACGAAGCCTGGACCATCATGAAAATGTGACTTGTGTTCAGATGTTCTATTTTATGTTAAAGATCGAAGTGTTGCGTTTTAGAAATATTTCCATACAAAATCTTCATTAACAGAAAAAAAATTTTTTTTATTGTGTAAAGGGAAACCCAGCTAGCACTTAGAAGCAGCAAATGTTTTCCAGAAACTAAGATTTTCTGAATTTATGAAATGAAGCACTTTGGAGAAATTTTCAAAGTTGATTTCTATTGTCTGTTTACTTCTCCAACCCTCCCACTTCCCACTTCCCGCTCTTGAACTAGTCAAAGTGAAAAGGTAAAAACTTTCTTCCTGAAAGTCTAACTAGCAAATGGAGTTTGTGAGTGGTACAGTTTCAGCACTTGGCTGCTAACCAAATATTGGAAGTTTGAGCCTACCCAGAGGAAGAAAGGCCTGGTGATCTATTTCTAATTAAAGAAACCATTGAAAAATCCTTTGGGAAAAATCTCATCTAACATACATGGAGAAGCCATGAGTCAGACTTAATTCAACAGCAACTACTTTCATCGAGCAAACAGTTTAGTTGTTGAAATGCTTACCTAAGGAGCGGAAAGCTTTTTCCATTTTCCTCGAAACCTAGACTTCTCTGGACTCTTTCCTCAGCTTCAGCTGCAGAACGTCTATGAAGACATTGCAGGGCAGCTGGCTTTCTCTGGCGCCACCACACAAAGAAGTGGTGATGGGTGAAGGGTATGTGCCGCCAAGAGAGCTCTGCTCTTATTGATTTTCTTTCCACTTGCAGGTAAGATTTCATTTGAAGGAGGGATTCTGCAGCTATGAAAACAAACAAACAAAAAACAATTGTAAAGGTGGCATCTTTTAAGACAATGATTTCGAGAATGATAAATAAGCTGATGAGCCTCTTGAAAGCCTATTGCTATCCCTCGTTCTTCCATAGGTTCACTTTGTGATAGAACTTGGTTCTATGATGTTTTCTCAACATCATCCCTAAAATAGATGTAACTATTCACCTCTAAATGAACATTTGAAGCTCCTTCAAAACAAAACCCCACTGCCATTGAGTTGATTCCAACTCCTGGACTGAATTAACCGATCCTCCTTTCGGGCATACATTTCTATCACAGCACACTGCACGACTAGGTCAGGGGTCTCTTCTGCTAGAGAACAAATCACTTGAGCATGTTCTCCTCATTGTGTTGTTTGGGCTGGACCCTGCAGAGGGCCTGGTGCACTGTGGCAGAATAAGCATTTCCCAACTGACAACAGGGTTTCCTTTGGGGTTGTGTGAGCCTGTTCTCATGAAGTCCTGATGATTTGGCTTAAACCTCTCCATGGTACTTGTAGCCAGGGCAGGGTAGCAGGCCAATTCTGTGTTACTGGGTAGAACTGTTTGGCAGGGGCTTCATGGCTGTGGTCTTTATAGAAGCAGATTCCTAAGACTTTCTTTCATAGTGCTGCTGGCTGTGTTTGAACCACCAACCTCTAGGTTAGTGCACACCACTTGTGCCATTCCCAGAACCTCCACTTGCTCCTGTCCTCTCCATTAATCAGAAAGGGCTGCTTAACACAATTGTTAGAAGAAACCAGACTCGAACAAGTGAAGGGTCAGTAGGCGCAATTGTATGGTTATCATATATAAAAACCATAATAAAGTCATAGAGGATAGGAGAGAGTACAATAAAGGAGTCAGATACATTTTATGGTAGCATGCTCTCCTCAGCCCCTCTTGATGGTCCATGTGGAACTGGGAAGAGGGGGAGTCTTTACTCTCTTGGGATATTTATAGGTAGCCATAAGACATGCATATTCAATAGTTACACACATCACAAGGTGGGTGGAATCTACAGTAAGGTCCCTGAGCTCACAGGTGAGGAAACTTAATACCTGCATTGGGGCAAGGGATGAGAAGGGCTGGGAGGAGATAACAAGAGGACATCTGCTTCTGTAGGGAGATGAAATCACCCATGTGCTCACTTTAAGGCAGCTTAACTGTTGGGGGAGAATCTGTGGGAATGATTTAAAACAGGATAATGTATTTGGACTTTAACTTAACCAAAGTGGAGGCTTTCCTACTGTGGAATACTAGCTTTCCAGATTTCCTCTATTATAAGTTAGGGAACATAGTCCTTGTGTGCCAGTTTCTCACAACAAATGAGGAGCAGGGCTGTTTGAATGCAGGTGGGGGCTGGCAGGTGGTCTCCTGCCTCTGGAGGAGTGCACACCTGTTTTCTACATGAGTCTTAGGATCCTTCTTCTCTAGGAAACACTAAAGAGACCCCGTAACTGCCTCTGCCACTTTCCAGGACTGAGCTCTTGAGGTAGAATTGTATAATATATTTTAAATTATATATAAAGGTAATACAGCACTATCACTATAAAATATTTTGACAAGGGGTTGGGGGAAGACCATATTATTCTCCCCCAATACAACTGTTTTTATTTTTTAATATTCCCTTCCAGGATTATCTGGATACATATTTATCAACATAGCTTGTGCCTTTTTGGTTTTACTAAACACTGTATCAATGAAGAGTTTTCATGTTGTACAGTTTTCTCCTCAGTTCTCAGTATTAAAAGGGGCATATCCCATCTAGTAGATGAACTATGACTTAAAGAACTTCTTAGTTTGCATTTTTCAATTTCAAAAATTATAATATTGAAACCTATGTTTAATGTTACTTAAGGATTTGATGGATAAAACCAGATTAGAGGTGCATCAGAGCATGGAAGAAGAAATGAAGAGAGAAAACTTGGCTGCAGAACAGCGCATGGTCCACAGAATCCAGAGGATTATGATGGAGTGCCACAGGGAGAAGGTGCAGGCGGTGCAGGCAGCCAGGGATGAGGAAAGACGTAAAGCCCAAGAAGAAATCCAGGCTCAGAAAAGGTATTCCAGAAAACACATCAGCAAAATTAGTGTTTTGCTTTTATCAGAATGAATTGGGGCACAGAGATGAGGTTAAGGTATTTTGCCCTGTCTTTGTGTGGTTTTCCTTTTTACTATGAATTACATATAAAACCTAAAGAGCCCTACTGATGCTGACAGGTAAGCATTGCCCTGCCAACCACAAGTTCAGTGGTTCAAACTCATCAGCTACTTCATAGGAAAAAGATGAGGCGATCTGCTTCTGTAAAGCTTTACAGCCTCGGAAGCCCTACGAGTCACTACAAGTCAGAATAGACTCGATGCCATGGGTTTATATAACACACATAGAAAATATATAGCATATTCTAGAATATGTATAACAATGATTTACAGATAAAGACCATAAAAGATCAAAGACCCACTGTGCAGTTTAAGAAGGTGAAAATTACCAATGCTTCTAAAGTTGTGATATGCTCTTCCCCAAAGTTATCTCATCAGCAGCTCGATGGCAATGAGCTTGGGTTTTGGTGGTTTATGTGTGTGTGGTCATTATCCTCTTAGTGACCCCTTAGGACAGAGTAGAAGGCCCCTTGTGGGTTTCCAAGACTATAACTCTACTGGCTGGTGGTTTCAAATCACTGACTTTGCAGTGAGTTTACTTTGGAGAATCATAAACCATTTTATATAAATCAGATTATATGTAGATATAGTTTAAGAATACATATGGTCCACGTAGTGGAAGATAGAACCTTCTTTACCTTTCTCCTCCTCATCTGCCTGCCCATCCATAGGAGCCCTGCCCCTCCCAGTGGAGCACACACCAAGTCTCATGTTCCCCACCCCTCCAGTCCTTTCATCAAGTTTGAATGGAGACGTTTCAATGGTTGCCTTTATTGAATCACTAGGCTAATATCTGAGGGCTTCCATGACTGCCATTTAAAAGTAGCTAACTCAGTGCCTGTTTTGTTCACCGATGTGCCCTAGGTGCCTTGAAGGGAGCTGGGCATGATGATGGCATTCTTAAAATTTGGCCAAGAGGCCCACATCTGTGCCACTTTGCAGCATATCAGATACTGTATTTAATCTTTGCTCAACTCCAGCATTCTTTAAAGTTTGTAAAGACTATATATATGGAGAGAGGGTGTGGGGAGAGGTCTAGATAGATCTTTGACTATGAACTTTTTCCTGATAAATAAGGATTACATATGTAAAATTCGTTAAATGCACAGAGAACTTTTTTGTGGGTTGAACTGATTTGATTATAAACAAATTATGCAGGAGACACTGGACTCTCTCTTGAAGTAAAAAAAATTCAGACACCTCCCCTTGAAAGATTTTTAGTCTAAGGCAGGATCCTGATGCCTGAATCTTCATGATCGCAGGGAAATCTCCTCATGCCAACTCCCCTCTCTCGGGCATCCAGCACCTACGTGGAAGGCTGCTGCACACTTTGCACACCACTCTCCTCACATTTCTTCCGGTGCTCAGTGACATTCAATCACCAGCTACAGTTTCAGCGGAACCCTCTGGGCCTTAGAGAAAGAGTAAGGAACCCGTTAAGGACACCTGGAAAGGAGGTGGCTGGGCTGGACTTGACACAGAAGCTTCTGACCTTGCCTTACGCTACCCTGCTCTACAGATAGAGAAGTCACATGAGCTATCTAGTGTTTCCCTCTTTAATGGAATTGATGCGGTTCCTTGATGCAGCGGATCTGGCACCGAGGCTCTGCCATCACGAAATAAGGGCCCTTCCTTAAGGTGATGTGAGGTAACCAAAGCATGACGGCCCAAAGCAGCACACCTGGTGCTGGAAGAGGTCCAAGTCCTGGAGAAAGCAAGCAGAGGAAGGGTGAGGTACATGATGAAGTACATTCATCTTGAGTCGAGCCTTAGAGAGAAGAGAGGGACGAGGAAGACCAGCATGAACAAGACGGGAGGTGTGATATGTCATGAGGTGCAGCCAAAGGAAGGTAGCATATAAACACACTGCTGGAGGTATCACCCACACCCTTCCCATCGGGACCTCTATAGTACCTACAGCCCCAGCTTAAGGGTAACACTAATCCTTCTTCAAACCCGGGAGAAACGGATTCCCTGGTAAAGAAATCAGGATATATTTTCCTTATAAAAACACTTGTTAGAACTGGCAGAACTAGTGCTGATAGTCCTGTTGCTCAAGTGAAAAAATAGATCAACAGTTCATTTGGGACTAAACATGCAAGCTGTATGCTGTGTTCAACATTGCTTCAATCACTTCATGAGCAAGGAGTGCGCACAACAAAATCTTCCATAATTTCAAAATTGCCTATGAGGAAATGAAGCACTGTGTTTCACTCTCTTAAGATGGTTTTTATTAGTGGACATAGATGAGGTTTGAAGCTGAAAGTCAAATTGAAGTTAGGTGAAAATTCACTTAAAAGTCAAGGAGAAATTTCTCTTTAGATCTGTGAGCCATGAATCGCATGCCATTTCAAAAACCTGAAAACAGTGAGCAAGAGAGCTAAGAGAAGTTCTAGAGGGAGCAAAGGGCAAATGAATTACTCATATAGATTCTCCATGTTTCATTTCCACAGAGCCAGTGGAGTTTTGGTATAGATTGGAAATTATTTTTTAATTTAGTAACTTTAGAATTTTTTTAAAGAGCATTTTATTGGGGGGCTCTTACAGCTCATAACAATCCATACATCAATTGTATCAAGTAGATTTTACATATGTTTCCATCATTATTTTATAAACATTTATTTTACTATTTGATCCCTTGTATTAGCTTCTCTCCCCCCCATCGTTGTGACCCCTTGATAAATTATAAGCTATTATTATTTTCATATCTTAACTCCAGCCTTTGTTAGAATTCATTTTTTAAAAACACCAGACTAAATCCTATAGATCTGTGAGTCTGTAAACACACAGTACAACTTTACCAAAAGAGGTAAATCTCTGACCAACACCAATATATATATATATATATATATATCACTGACATCGAGTCAATTCTGATTCATAGAGACCCTGTAGAACAGGGAAGAACTGACCCTGTGGGTTTCTGTGACTATAACTCTTTATGGGAGTGGAAAACCTCAACTTTCTCTCACAGAGAACTGCTGACCTGTGGTTAGCAGCCCATTGAGTAACCACCACATCACCAGGGCTCCTCCTAGCCATCACACCACTGTGAAAATAATATTGTAAATATGTCAAAGACTGTGGCACATGAAGACAGAGAAGGCAGTCACTACCGCACTGTGTAGGCAAGGAAGCAGACATCCATGTTGCTTTGGAAGGGGCATGGGAGGTCATCTGGCTGAGCTGTCACACCTGCTCAGCAGCTTCCTGAGTGACAGGACTTCACTGCAGGTTGAGATGGTTGCCTCAGATGCTGACAGCAGCCCTTGCCATGTTCTTCGTCATGGGGATCCAAAAGATGCTTGGCCCCACCTTCATTTCCAGCCTTTGCTGCTAGCTCTGCTCTTGCTGTACAGGTGGCCATTCCTCAGATATTTCAGGGCCGACATTTTCACCAGCCTTTAGTTTGAAGAAGGGGGAACAATACTTTAATTCTTCTTCATAGGATATGATTTCTAAGCCTCCTCTTTGGGAAAAACACAAATAAACATGGGTAGATTGTATAAATTGACAAGAGTTAACCATTTCATTATGGTGACTTTTTCATGGTGAATATTTAGACTTAAAAAGGAATTTTTTAAGTGTAAATTCTTTACAACTTTTGTAATGCCCTAGTTTGGGATGACTTAGCACCACAAAATGCACTAGAATTTAAACTGTATTAAGTACTTCCTCCTAAGTACTTCTTCACTATACTACTGGTGTGTGGTGGTTATGTGTTGGGCTACTGACTGCAAGGTCATCAGTTCAGAACCACCATCTACTCAGAAAAAGAAAGACACGACCTCTACTCTTGTAGAGAGTTCGTCTTGGAAACCCAGAGGGGCAGTTCTACTCTGTTCTGTAGGATCGGTATGAATCTGAATCGGCTTGATGGCAGTGAGCTTGGAATAAGCATCCGTTGGGTTGCTAACCTCATGGTCAGCAGTTCAAACACACCAGTCCCTCAAGGAAGAAAGATGAACTTTTCCTCTCCCAACTCAGAAACCCACAGGGGCAGTTCTACTCTGCCGTGGGGGGTTGCTACTAATCGGATTCAACTCAATGATAGTGAGGTTTGGTTTTGGACGCAGAACTGTATCTAGGATGCGGCAGATATAGCACGCGCCTGGGTGCCGTTTTATGGGAGGCACCGCTGAATGGTCTTTATTAATCTGGTAAAGCCCACTGTCCTTCTCCAAGCAAGATAGACATAATATAATGAGGGGACAGGGTAGAGGGAGGCACTTGCCCCAAGTGCAAGTCCAAGGGGTGCCAGAGGATGCACCCAACTACATTGGGAGGTGCCACAGTAAGCGAGGTGCCTGACTGGGACAGGCAACAGGAGGGAGGCACTGTCTGTTGACCACTGTCTGTTCATCTTGAAGTTGGGGGAGAGGGTGCAGCACTGTTCTCCTTGCTGTGTCCCAGCAGGGGCACACGTTCAGTACTTGCCAGTTGAGCTGTTTCCCTTAGAGACCACTGACTCGAAGGGCAGGCTGGGAGATACTGGAAAGAACTCTCAAAATACGCAGGATCCTTTTCGTGAGGACGTGAGGACAGGTGTAGGCTGCAGGGAGTTTAAAGGGCTCTCATGGAGGGTAGGGGGCTGGGCTCAAATAACGGTACATTTGATTTAAATACTAGCTTTACTTGAGGTCAATTGGGGGGGCTGCTCAGTCTGTCCCAGAGGTGAACAGGCTCTGTGTGGGGGTGAGGAGAAAGGCAAGCCAACCTGGTGAGATGTGCGATTCCAGAGCATGTCGCCGGGGGGCGCTCCAGCCAACCTTTTCCGTAGAGACTGGCTGGGCCAAGAGAGATTCCTTCCAGCTCTTTCTGTTCTAAGCTGTAGGTGCCTGGAGGTCTGTGTGTCAGGGGGGAGAGCCCCTAACACATCATCACAGGTCCGGTAGGCGCAATTGTACGGCGATAATAAGTAATGATTAGTAAAGTCATAGAGAATAAGAGAGATAGAAGAGAGATTGAAATAATGGAGTCAGACACATTTCATGGTAGTATGCTCACCTCAGCCTCACTTGGTGGTCCACATAGAGAGAGAGAGAAATTTATTGCTAACCAAGGCTTATATATCTTTTGGGGACAAGCAAGCCCCCTAATTACAGGTAAAGACATACGTCACAGGAAGGGGTTGCACTATAGGTACTACAGTAATGGGAAGGGGACGATCTAGGGGTAAGCACTCAATAGGAAGGGGTGGTATTAGGGGTACACATGTGACAAGATGGGCGGATCCTAGATTCAGGAAGGCAGCGTAATTTTGGATGTCACTGAGCTGGGTTTGAACTGTTCTCTGGCTCACTATTGAAACCATTATCAGTAGGGTGTGAACTCCACCTATAGGGACCAGACTGATGGCCAAGAGTCTTCAGTGAGAAGTAATCCATTGTCCTTAACAGCAGGCCTGTCTTGTGGGACCAGACAGTAGTCTGGAGGTTGAAGGCATCTGACTTCTCACCATGTGCTGCCAAATAGCCTCTAATGTTTGGCATATCTTTGGGGAAGTCAAAGCTTGGGGAAAAGTCTTTTTATAATCCCACATCTGGGAAAACCTCCTCAGTAGCTCAAGGATTTTATGAAGTATCAGACTAAATCCTGAAGGTGTGGGTGGGTGGCATGACCCCCACCCTCTCCATCCATGGCATCACTCCTACTTAAGGGTACATCATTCTCCAGTGGCCCACAGTGAAAGTCAAGAAGCTGGTTTTGATATTCCCCTTTCAGCCTCCTCAGGGTCCTAGCAGCCCTGGTGGGCTGTTGACTGAGAGCCAATGCCTTGCACTCACCTACCAGCTGCTCCTTGGAAGAAAGATGTGGCCATTGGCGTCAGTAAAGATCCAACCCTGGAGGTCCCAGGTACCATGTGGGCCCTCTCCTCTGGGTTTGCTATGAGTGGAAATCAACTTATTGACCACGGATTAAAGTCCAAACCCAAACCCCCTGTCATTGAGTCAATTCTGACTCGGTGACACTGTATTCAGGTTCTGAGACTGTAATTGTTATGGAAGCAGATAGCCTCATCTGGGCCCCTCCTCGTTAAGTCATACCCATACTATTACAAAATAAAGCTGGATGGTTTCTCTACCCTTTACCTCACATCACTAAGATTTATTCAGCCAGTGATACCATACTAGCAAACCTATTATAAATAAGCATTGCTATTGAAGCTGATAATGTTTACAGGGATGAGTTCTCCCACCTGCGCAATTGTGTGACCTGAGATAAGGACTTAGGGAAATGTCTTCACATGCTGTATCGGAACAATAACAGATACAAAGAGGACCAGCTTCAGTGGGTTATTATGAAGATTAGATGAGATATACTACCTGTGAAATGCTTAACACTGGGGCAGAGTAAATGCGCAATAAATGTTAACCTCTGATATTCACAGTGGGCATCATGTAGTTGTTGACAGAAGAAAGAACCGGTAGCAGAGCGCCCGAGGAGCTAAAGACAGACAATGTGTACCAAGATTCAGAGGGTCTGTGGGTCTGAGAGTTGATAGGAAAGAATCCAAACAAAATGAGAGAATCACATCAGGACTGGAGGAAAACCTTTATTAGAGGAGCAGGGAGGGAAAGAGGATTGTTCAATAGCTATAGATGTTGGAATTCCACATTTTCAGATCTTTCTGTATCTCAAATTGTTGAATATGCTGCTTGGACCAGGTCAACCACAGACATCTCTGGAAGCGTAAGCTCAGGGCCTAGCTTAAGCTCATAATAACCCACTGAAGCTGGTCCTCTTTGTATCTGTTATTGTTCCGATACAGCATGTGAAGACATTTCCCTAAGTCCTTATCTCAGGTCACACAATTGCGCAGGTGGGAGAGCTCATCCCTGTAAACATTATCAGACCTTTGCTCTGGACTCTTGAGGTGTGGGCTGGTTTTGACCCTTACTAATTAAGTGAACTTGGGCAAGTTACTAAACTTCCCTGTGCCTCGGTTTTCTCATCAGTAAAATGGACACAATAAAATACAACCATCTCATGGAGTTGTTTTTAAGAACCATTGAGGTAATGCATGTACTGGAGTCAGCCTCTCTGGGTGTCATTTGATGGGAGGCATCGCTGAACAGTCTCTATTAATCTGGTAAAGGCCACCGTCCTTCTCCTAGTGAGATAGACATAGGGGTAATGAGGGGACAGGGTAGAGGGAGGCACTTGTACCGGGTGCACGTTCTATAGTTACTATAAGTAGTGACACACATTATAACCAGAAGTCTATGATTTCTTACAACAGTGGTTTTCAAAGTGTGGCCCGAGAACCTGTTGGTCTCCTTTTAGCAGGCTCACAAAGTCAAAGCTACTTTTAAAATAATACTAAGATGTTGTTTACTTTTGCAGTCTCATTTTCTCAAGTATCCAAAAGCAAAACTCCCTGCCGTTGAGTTAATACTGACTCCTAAGACAGGGTAGAACGGACGCTGTGAGTTTCCAAGACTATTGACCAGAGTAGAGAGCCCAGACTTTCTTCCGAGGAACACCTGATGGTTAGGAACGGCTGACCTTGAGGATTGCAGCCCCGTTCATAATGACTATGCCTCCAGATGCACAGGAGACTTTTCCAGGGGCTATATAATGCAGATCACAATAGATTATATTAATGCAAAAAATATATGTAACCTTTTGTTCTACTGAGTCAGACATCAGTTTTGCAACAACAACAACAAAAAAAAGTGAAATAATGCCACTCTTCTTATAAAATACTCTTTTGCTTTAGAAAATATTTTTTTGATAAAAATTGTTTTTTAAATGTTATGTGTTGGATTTTATTTTAGCTTACATGAATTAATAAGTATATTATATATATATATCACTTTTATTTTATTATTAATGTCAATAGATATTACCCATATAAAAGAAGTCATTTGAGACTGAGTTATTTTAAGAGTAGAAAGGGGACCTAAAATGTAGAGACCTGTGATAGAGTATTGCTCAGAGGAAATTAAGATTAGAGCTCAACTGTCTCCTCTCTAGCTAAATTTACATAAGGACATACTTCCCCTAGGGGGTTGGTACTCTGACTCTATTTCTTGAATTTTAAGCACACTAGCCTTTTGTTTTTCTGGTCAAGGTGGCCGCAGATCGCCAACTTTGCTATTAGACACTCAGACTAGTATTTTCTCTGTAGCCCACAGTAGCGGGTTGATTGCTAGCTAATGCAATCCAAGACTCACTCTGCCAGCCTGTGCACAAGGCAATGGTTTCCCAATCTGTGGTTAAGGATGACTCATTCTGTTTTCAGGAACTAAACCATCTAATTTGTAAACTTATATTATCATTTGCAGAAAGGCCATGGAGGAACTTTTGAGTTCTGGTGTGTCCATGGTTAAGGATAAGAAGAAGAGTGTAGAACACCTGATAAAGGAAAAAGAACAAAAAATGAATATCTACTATGGTATAGCTCAGAGGCAGACTCAAGAAGAAGTGCAGGAAGTACTTCAAGAAGCCAAGAAAACACATCAAATCACCCTTGGGAATGTGATGGATAAACTGGTGAACACTGAAGGGGAGCTACTGTCCATAGCAAAACAACTGGGAATCATGACAAATTGGAAAGATTTTCTCGAGGAGGAATTACAGGAGACCAGGGCAGCATTTCAAAAATACATCAATTATACTTTTCCTAATCTTTCTCCAGGGCAGGCTGATTTTATTCTGCCAGAAAGAAAGAAAACCCCGTCCAACCTGGTTATTAACAAGAACAACTCTTAACTAGAAGTCTTCACCTGAAATGGCACTACAAAAGATATCATTCCAAAGACCAAATAAATTCACTCCAACATTTTTTCCTTTATCCACAATTAGGTGCAGTGTATCATTGGGTTGTCAAGGTTTGGATGGAAAAGCAAAGTATTCCAAAGTGCACGACCCCCATAACCAAGGGGACTTTGGAGGTTGCTGTGATGGGGCGGGCCAGGAGAGGGGATGGGGCAATGGGCTGAACTATTGATGCTGTGGCTGTGGTGACTTGGAGGTTGGTGGCCCATGGGGCGGGGCCAGGAAGGTCAGGGAGCGGGTGGGGGGTGGGACTACAGGAGGATCTGATTGGTGGTTTGGACTGCTGAATGCAAAGTTGATGGTCTGAGAGCCCATTCCAAACCCACAGATGATGGCTCCTGAGCCAGACTGTTATCTATTGTTTGCACAAACTCTAATGAAGAACTTGAACTTGGTGTCTCATTTGTTGACTACATGAGTATGTGTATGAGTGTCTGTGGATGTATGTATGCATGCATAAATGCAGTGAGAAGGGCATTGGAGAGTGGGTTCTGGAATGAATATTGGGAGAATATATTTTATCCTCTGTGTTGTTGGCCTATTAACTTGTTGGCCTATTAACTGCAAGGTCAACAGTTTGAAACCAACAGCCACTCTGCGCGAGAAAGATGAAGCTTCCTGCCCCACATAAAGAGTCAGAATTGACTCCGTGGCAGTGAATTTGGTATTTGTTTGTTTGGAGAATTAATGTATATAACCTAACAGGACGTTATACCTATTGATTGACTGCAGTATTTAATTTATTGACATCCTCCACTAGACTAGATCTGAGCTCAGAGCACCAGGGAGCAGAGGACAACCATCATCTGGAGGATTTATTTACGCCAGGACTGCAGTTAAAGTGTTTCTCCTTCAGTGACATGGGGAGTGACATGAAAAGAGGGAGGTGAATTCAGTTTTGGTTTAGAAAAGTCACCTTCCAAGTCTCCAACTAGAGTAAAAAATAAATGAAAACGCCCATGTGTTTAGTATTTTTTGTTCATACTCCAGTTCCTGCTCCTGATCCATTCTTTTGAGAAGATGTTTGGGATCTTATTACTTTCCAGATCCAGAGTTTGGGATCTTATTACTTTCTTGCTGAGCTTAGCTTGATGACTGCAGGGCTTCCTGCCTACCCAATGACTCCCCTGCCCTCTAGCCTGCAGTCTCAGCACTGCTTATGCCTTGGGCAAAGTTGGTGACCAGAGCCAATGCTCTCAGGACAGGCTGACCTGATCCCAGCCCCCCTTCGCCACTCATCTCTGGAGTCAGCACCTGGATAGCCAGAGAGTAAAAGACACTTTCTGTTCAGAGGAACAAAGAATGACAGCCAAATCCTAAATGAGCCAGAGGACAATGAAACCACATCTTTAAAGTACTGAGTGGAAACAAACAAAAAGGACAGAAACAACTGTTAACCCAGTATTCTATACCCAGCCAAAGTGCTTCAGAAAATGAAGGCAAAATAGACATTTCTAAAAGCAGAGAGAATTCATTACCAGTATATCAGCAATACAATAAATATTAAAGGAAGTTCTTTAGGCAGAAGGAAAATGTTATTAGGTGAAAAGTTAGATCTACAAGAAAAAGAACACTGGAATTAATAGATAGGTGAATATATGTAAAATGTATTCTTATTTTAAGTATCTTAAAAGGGTAATTGTTAAAAGCAAAAATTAAGCTATCATGGGTTACATATATACATAGAAATTGTATTGTGAAAATGATACAGGAAAAATTGAAGAAGGGAAATAAAATACAGTTTTATAAGATTATTATGCACCTGAGTAATGAACCAATGGAAAGTGAAAACATATTTTAAAATATCATGTGTAATAGTATTTAATATCTATATTTTGGGGGCATAATTTTGGTAAAAGGTATGTAAGGATTATACAAAAAACTATAAAGAATTGCTCATTTATATTAAATAAGACCCAAACAAATAAATATAGATATACCTTGATTATGGACCCCAAAATGAAATATTGTTAAAACATTAAGTATCCCCATATTAATCAATAGATTTGACATAATCCTTATAAAACTTCTAAGGAATGTGTATCTCACCAGTGTTATTATTCCCCTTATAGCCAGTATCATATTTGGCTGAAAATTGAGCCAGTTTTACACCTGAAAGGTGGTGGTGGGAGTCAGCTGGTTCTCAAGAACTGGTAGATGATTTGTTTTTGTTGAGTTCAGTGAACTGGTTGTTTAAATGACACTCGTAATCAGGGTTTTCTGTAAGGTGGGTGGCTGCCCAATGTGGAAATCACAAATTTACATTTTTTACTCTTTTTAAAAAAAATGTTCATTGTGCAACAGTGGTGTTCAGATATCATATTGAAATAATAAAGTACCTTTCAGTATATCTTTTTTTAATACTTAAAATGGTCATTAGGGCAGCAAACCAGATAAATTATTTGAATCGCACCACTGTTGAAGGGTAACTGTGGTCCATGGTCCTGGGAGTTCTAATAGACTCTATCATGCCAGCAAACCTAGTCATTTAAAAATGACTTTTAGTTTTGTTCCACAATATTCTTTCACGCTATGCAGGACATCTTAATGGGGCATGTGATCCCTCTTGGGGCAGTTGGCAGTCCTAGCCAGGTATGATCTAGTTCTGCTCTCAGGACCATGGAAGCTAATGTTCGTGTGGTGCGTTGGTCCCTTGAACTAATTGCTTCCATGCATCTTCTATGTTCATCCCTCTCCTTTCCTCTAGGTGGGAGAGACCAAGATGGGCACTTTAGATGGTTGCTCATCAGCTTTTAAGTGTCCCATCTCTACTCAGTAAAAGAGGATCTAGAATATTGCCTTCGGGGACAATGTTGTATCACTGGACTTTGGTGTCCGAGGAGACTTTGTCCTGAGGCTTCAGGCTCAGAGACACAATAGTTATGTCTAACCACTAAGGAGTTTTCAAAAATTTTCCCCTTGTATACTTCACCACATTCATGGCTATAGGAAAATGTCTATTATCTCTAATTCCCTTTTCCACAACTCTTTCACTAACCATAAAGCACAACAGTGATATTCCTAGGTACTTCCCAGAGAGAAATTAAACACAAGTCCACCCAAGGATTGTACTCAAATACGCACAATAACTACATTTATAATGTCCCTAAATTGGAAATAACCCAAGGGTCAAACAATTTCGGGGTACATAAACATATTATGGCATAGTCATGAAATGGAATATCATTCAACAATAAAAAATAGTCATTTACGTGCAAGAAGGTGAACCTAAAAAACAGTTTAAGTTTGTAAATGCCATCCTAAAAAGACCACTACTTTAACATGATTCTATTTATATGGAATTCTAGAAGAGGTGAAGCTCTCATGAAAAAGACTGTCTAGAGTGGAGGGGGCGAGGGGGTAGGGGACAAATGGAGTAACTCTAAAAGGGCAGCGGGAACTTTCTAGAGTAATGGAAATATTCTCTCTAATGATTTTGGTAATGATTACATTATAGATACTATATAGATTTTTATAAAAATCTATACTATATAGATTTTTCAATTAATATCTAATTGTACACTAAAATTGGTGAATATTGTATGGATATTAGACTTCTATCAAGCCAATTTTTTAAAAATGGCAGTGCCGCTAACCAAGAACACATCCTGCCACGCAGCGCTTCAAGTCCTCATTGTACATAACAGCATCCTGGTCTGTGGTCAGGCTGCCTGCAGAGAATCCTCATCTACATGTGTGTAGCTGGCTGACTTTGAGCAAATGCCCTCTTAATCCTCAGGCTTCATCATCTACGAAAAGGGATACTAAATTTTATTTGGTCCATGGAGTCAAGGTGAGAATTCATTAGCATGCTTCATATAATACCTAAGAAAGAAACTAATCTAAATGTTCGCTATTATGATTTTCTATCACGGCAAAAATAACACTACGAGATATATAGATAGCTCTGCATTTCTTCTACAAATCCCACAACCAATTGTTCTAATTTTTAAAATATACCAATTTAATTATATTTGCTTTTTTCAATATGTGTGTGTGAGATATATTTTATTGTTTGTGGGTTTTAAGATATATCTAGGTAATAGTGGGGATAACTTTGATTTTTTAATTTTGCTTTAACCGAATTAACCTTTAGAAATGCCTGTTGACATATAAAATTCTTTTATTCAATTTATGCTTTCTCTTTTGACCTATGGATTACATTTATTGACTAAAGACATTAAGCACTTGCTAAGGAATAGAGAGCTGGAAATAGAATATACACTTCACCTTACTGCTGCATGGGAACCAGTGAAGTTTGTCTAAGTCCTTAAGAATTCAAGTGGAAAAATAACTCTGTGGAAAGTCTACTTACAAATTTAAAGGTCAAATGACTGCAATATGGTTTCATGATTATAAGGCTTCTGCCTAAAAGAAGTTAATCAAAATCATATTATGGTAAGTTCTATGTAATTATGATTTTGAAGGAAAAGAAACACTTGAAGGTGGGCTGTAGCATGGAATGATCAGGACAAAATGAATCGAGAGGCAGAAGTTCTGAGGCACTGAGTCCAGAGTAATAGCCCATGCTTGTGATGGAGAAGACATGACGCTGGCTGCTGCAATGAGAAAGCCAAACAGAGTTAGCAAGCTCAGAGACAAAGCAGGACAAGACTCTGTTTTTAGTGATTAGAATACGATTAAGCATTAACTAAATTTTAAACCAGAGCAGGTGTGAAGCTGAACACCTACATAGCCATTAGTCCATGAACTAACTCTCTCCCTAGTGCTGATTATTCAGGCTGTAGAATCAATTCCAACTCATAGAGACCCTATAGGACAGAGTCCAATTGCCTCCATTGTGTTTCTGAGACTGTAATTTTTATGGAAAGGAGCCCTGGGGGATAGCAATGGGCTGTTAACCAAAAGGTCAGCAGTTTGAATCCATCAGCTGCCCTGAGGGAAGAAGATGAGGCTTTCTGTTTCTGAAAAGATTTATAGCCTTGGAAACCCAAAGGAAAAGTTCTAGTCTGCCCTATATGGCTATTATGAGTCAGAATTGAGACAATAGTAGTGAGTTTTGTTTGAGTTTTAATAATTATGGAAGCAGGCTACTACATCTCCAAAGGCCCTGGTTCAACCAGATGGATTGGCAGAGTGGTTGTAACAATGGGCTCAAACATCCATTATGGGAATGGTGCAGGACCAGGCAGTGTTTTCTCCATTGTACATAGGGTCTCTATGAGTCAGAGTTGACTTTGGGTTACCAAGGTCTGGATAGAAAGTGGGTCAATAAGAACCATAATAGAAGCAGAGAGAGAAATCCCAGGACCATTGGAAGAAAAGCCACCATGGAGCCTGTTCGAAATCTCTGCCTAAAGAGGTGGAGGCCAAAACCACAGGCATGGGACAAAAGGACCATGGGATAGAGCAGGCAACAGAGCAAAGATGCTAGGCTGAGACCAGAGGCCATGGTAAGGAAACCACGAGATAAAACAGGGGCATTGTCAAGACTATGAGACAGAGACAGAGCAGCAGGTGGGCTTCCTATCTTGTAGAGACCAGAGGCCAAGGTATGAAACATGACAATGTCATTCTTCTTGATCACGGACATGCCTGCAGATGTTTCCCTCTGTAAGTCCAGGACCCAGGCCAGCCAGCTATGTTTCACTGGTTCCTATTTTACATAAATTACTGTTTCTGACAGTACATACATTTATTTTTATTTAAACATAGAAGGGCCATAGAAAAGGAAATGGATTCTTATTTTATAAAAGATCATAAGGGCAGGCTATAAAGTCCTTTAAAATATATGAAAAGTTTGCATTTGCAGGAATTTCTGAGCTTGAATGAGAAAAAGATGACAGTCACTTTAGAGGAAACGGATTTGATTTTTAACTAAATGAATTTCTTTTAAAAAAATCATTTCTTATGTTGCTGAGAAACAGCTAATTTTTTTTCCTGCTTGAGTATGTGGTATCCATCTCTGGAAGGACCATCTGTGGCTATTATGATGTTACTTGAAAGAAACTGGAGGACATAAGTGAATCAGATGTCTAGAGTCTTACTAAAGTGCCGATAACATTTTAAAATCAATGCTTATCTAACCTTTTCCTATTTCTTTGGGGGGTGGACTCTTCCGAAAAATATCACCAACCATGTACTCTTTTGATTATAAATGATTTTAAATGTCATCTTTTCCAGGATGGGAATGTCACATTCAATGACCTGGTCCTTTGCAGGGACATCAGTAATTTGGAGTGTTTTCTGGATTATTGGAATTTAGAAGTGAGTCAGCCTTGAGGTAATGGGATCATTTGATACAACCTAAAGCCACTCCAGAGGTCAGCATCAGGTTCACAGTCATGTCTGCCTCGTCCTGGCGTGACTTGCAGAGCTCACATCACGCTGGTGGCAGATGCTTTGCATTTTCCTTACAGAACGATGGCTTCTCGATAGGCCGAGAAACACCTGAACACTGGAACAGTGAATTTCATGTCATAAGTCCAAGGGAGAATCTGGTGTTTAGTAAGGGAAGTAGGTTGGCTTTCAAATGGGATAAAAATATACATGAACATCTTTTAAGCATCCATTTTTCCTTTTCAAGCCTTAGGGTGTTCAGACAGGAGACATCAGGTCCAGGCATTGAGTCGGCATTCGTAGAAAACCTGCTGCGTGCACCGTGGTGCAGACCACAGAGATATGGAAGATAGCAGTGCATGGTGAGGGTTTCATAACCAACAAAGATAACAACACAATGTCTGGTTTGCCAATGCCCCAGATTCATAGTACTAATAAAGGGTTGTAGGAACTTCCAGAATAAGAGGAGACTAAGAAGAAGGACTAGGCTGTCCACTTCAGAGAGATTAGCCACTAAAAAGCTTATGAGTAGCAGTGGAGCATTGTCTGCTATCATATTGGAAGATGAATCTCTCAGGTTGGAAAGCACTCAAAATCTAGTAGAAGAGTTGTCTTCTGAAAGTAGAGTTGACCATAATGATGTGGATGGAGTAAAGCTTTGGGAACCTTCATTTTCTGATGGGCTATGACTTAAGAACACCTGTAAACATCCATTAGTAATCAGAATGTACAATATATGAAACATTAACTTGTAAAATTGGAAATCATCAAAAGTGTAATGAAACACATAAAAATTGATATCCTATTGTAACTGTTACAAATCCAAGATCATAGAAGGTGATTATAGTCAAGCTTAAATTCAGAGATGACAGGGAAAGCTGCAAATCCATTTGCACAGCCCCTCTGTGGACTAAGTCTCCCTGAACTCCTTCAGACCATGGACTGAGGGTGTAAATTGTCTTGCCCTCCGACCCAGTGCATTGGAAAGTGGATCACAGCAGATGTAGTTAGGTTAAAATTTACATGTTGTCATTTGTTTTTTTCTTTTAATAAATCTTTAATTTGTTCTGGTTTCCATTACCTTCTGCTTTCTTTTGGATTGAGGTTGTTCTATGTTTTATTTTGTTGTGCGAGTTTTTTGTATGATTTTCTTTATATGAAATGCAGGACAGGTAGTCCATAGAGAAGGAATTAGATTACTAGTTCCTCAGAGTTACAGTAGAATCCCTGGTACTCAACCGCATCGGTATTGGACATAATTGGATTTCGGCTCGATGTGTTAAGAACATTTTGCATCGGAGCTTGAACAAAACATCGGAATACCAAGTCACGTGATTTTTGTAAACAAAAGCAGTTCGTGTTTCAGTCACTCGGTGTTAGTTGGTTAGTTAGTTAGTTTTCAGTGTGCATTGTTTAAACCTTTTGCGGCCGTGTTCCAAGTGTTTTGCTATAATTTTCTTAGTTTTTTGTGGCTTTTTGTACTGTTTTTAGATAAAAAACATGGGTCCTTAGAAAGAGCTTTTTGAAAAGAATCATCATGATAAGGAACTGGTTAACGGTGTTATCGATATTGTTGATGATAATTTAGTAAACCCTTTTAGAAAACAGTTCAGGAAACGCCAACAGCAGACCACATTCGACAGATTTTTTTTTTTTAGAGAAAGCCAGCCAGGCCCTAGTGAAAAAAGGCAAAGAAGGGAAAAACTCCTGACAATCAGCTACCAGATGATCTTTATGGAAGGGGATTCCCTTTGAAACAATGACTCTCTCTCCATCCCTCCTCTCCGCATCCGTGTCCACAGATCCAGATCCCCATCCATCTCAAGGTATGGCTGTACTGTAGTTGTTAAAAACTTTTTTAATGTGTGTCTTATTTAAATTATATTATTTAGCTCTGAACTTATTTATTTTGAAATTTCTGTGTAATGTTTTGTATAAAAAGGCAAGATGAGGGTAAAAACTTGGTGGTCGAGAACAGATTAATCCATTTTCAGTTATTTCTTATGGGAAAAATTGATTTGGAACTCGACTGCATCGCATCTCAATGCCCCTTCTAGAACGGATTAGCCCCGAAGTCAGGTTCTACTGTATGGCAGGGAAGTTTGAGGAGTAATTCATCGCTAATTATAGGTCAAGAATGAATATAATATTCTAAAAATTTTTATGGGATGATTGCACAACACTCTTTAGTATATTTAAATCATTGGATTGTATAGTACATGGATTTATGCCAATAAACTTAAATAACATATCCTATATATTAATGATCTGAAATGGATTGGTATTGTCTATTTTGAATCAGATAATCATATGTTGTTTTTTTTGGGGGGGAGGACTGATTATAAGGATCTACATATAACCTCCTCCCTGGGGGACAGACAACAGAAAAGTGGGTGAAGGGAGACATCGGACAATGCAAGATAGGACAAAATAATAATTTATAAATTATCAAGGGTTCATGATGGAGGGGGGAGTGGGGAGGGAGGGGGAAAATGAGGAGCTGATGCCAGGGGCTTAAATGGAGAGCAAATGTTTTGAGAATGATGAGGGCAATGAATGTACACATGTGCTTTACAGGAGAACAGGTTCAAACCTAATCATATGTTTTACTACATGTGATAGTTATATTTTATGTCAAGTTGAGTAAGGCAGGATTCACCCTGGATCTGTTCTAACAGTGTTTTCAACTCTATGATGTGATATAGGATAGCTATTATTTAACAGTTTATTGGCATATAATCCATGTACTTTCAAAGCAGCCAAGTGTAGTTGTGGGGAGAATAGATTTCCTTAATCTGGTCACGGCTTTGATACAATTGAGAGCGATTTTATTCAAAATGTGGCTTTCTCTTACTATAAAATGCTAGTATGTGGAAGTTTGCCCACTCCTCCTGCTGGATTTAGATAATACATCATTTGGATTCATTTGACCAATCTCAGGACTCATTCAACTAGGCACCCACCAGCCTGTGGTCTTCTGGCTTCATCTTCCTTCTTCCTATTCATCAGCCCCTCCAGCAATAGTCAAAAGAAGCCTCCAGCTTACATCTGACATATAGACTTGAACTGGACTGGAATTACCTACTTCCACAATGATGTTAGAGGAGAATGTAGCATCAGGATGGGAAGGTTTGTTAACAACCTGTAATATACAGACAATGCCTTGCTTGCTGAGAGGAAGACTTAAAGAACTTGCTAATGAAGCTCAGGGATTGCAACCTTCAGTATAGATTACAGCTCAATGTAAAGACCGAAATCTTCACAACTGGACCCATGGGGAACACATTATGATAAATGTAGAAAAGACGGAAGTTGTCAAGGATTTCATCTTGCTTGGATCCACAATCAATGCTCATGGAAGCAGCGGTCAAGAGATCAAAAGTATTGCATTGGGTAACTTTGCTGCACAAGACCTTTTTACATAAAAAAATCATTTTATTGGGGGCTCTTAGAAGATTCCATACATCAATTGTATCGAGCATATTTGTACATATGTTGCCATCATCATTTTCTAGACATTTTCTACTCGAGCCCTTGGTATCAGCTTCTTTTTCCCCTCCCTCCCTCACCCTCCTGGAGTGATCAAGGTGAATCCATGATGACATATTGTTATTATTATTTCATATCTTTCACTGTCCATTGTCTCCTTTCACGCACATTTCTGTTTTCCATCCCCTTGGGGGTGGGGGAGCTATATATCCAACCTGTGATGGGTTCTCCCTTCCTCTCCCTTCTCCCTCCACTACCATCCCCCTACCCTCATGATATCCCTACTCCCACTACTGTTCCTGAGAGGTTTATCTGTCCTGAATTCCATGTGTCCAGAGCTCTTATCTAATAATGTGTGTTCTCTGGTCTAGCCATATTTGTAAGGTAGAACTGGGTAATGGTTTGGGGGTGGGAGGCGTGGGAGAAGCATTCAGGAACTAGAGGAATGATGTGTGATTTGTCAGTACTATACTACACCTTCATTGAATCATCCCTTCCTTAAAAACCTTCTGGGGGGTGGGGGGAGGGTGTATATCCAATTATCTAAAGATGGGCTTTGGATCTCCACTCCAGGGCCCCTCGTTTGCATCAATATAGTTGTTTGTTTTAGATCTTTTGATACCTAACGCCTGATCCCATCAGCAAGACCTCTTTAAAGTGTTGAAAAGCGAGGCAGTTAACGTGAGCACTGAAGAGCACCTGACCCAAACCCTGTTTTCCATCGCCTCATATGCATATGAAAGTTGGACATTGAATAAGGACGACCAAAGAAGAATCAACACATTTGAATTATGGTGCAGGTGAAGAACAGAGAAAGTACCACGGACTGCTGAAAGAACAAAAACATCTGTCTTGGATGAAGTACAGTTGGAATGTACCTTACGGGCCAGGAGACTTTGTCTCATGCACTTTTAACAGGCTGTCAGGAGAGAGAGAGAAGTCCCTGGAGAAAGACATTATGCTTCGTAAGGTAAAGGGACAGCGAAAAAGCGAAGGCCCCCCCCCCCCCTGAGATGGATTGACACAGTGGCTGCAACACTGGGCTCAAACATAAGAACCATTGTGCGGATGGAGCAGGCCCGCACAATGTCGTTAGGTCGGACAAAGGATCAATATGAGTTAGGAACCGACCTGACGGCACCTAACCACAAGCCTCCCCTGCCTTGGCCGCGCCCCTTTCGTCCCAAGCGTCCCGTCTCCATGGTGACGTGGCTCCCTTGGAAACCACACGTAGTCCAGGAGACGAACGCCACTGAGCGGAATCTCACCGACTCCGCTCGGCCTGGGGCTTCGACCAGGTCAGCACACCGGGCGCTCTGCTGCCTTGAGCCGGAGACGTGCCGGGGGAAGCCCGTCCAACTTCACCGTCGGCCGGACCCCACTAGCTGCGCTGGTGAGCCGAACCCCCACTACTTCCGGCCGGGGCGCCAAGTGAGGGTGCCGGAATTCTCCTGCCTCTGCCCGGCGCCGCCCATTGTACCCCCAACCGCCAGAACACTAGAGGTTTAGTGCTTTGGGGGTGTGGATCTCGGGAGGATAGTGGGGAGTCTTTCCAAACTCAAACTCACTGCCATCGAGGCAATTCTGACTGGTGGCACCCCTACAGGATAACGTAGAACTGCCCCTGTGGGTTTAGGAGAATTTTAACTTTACCGGAATAGAAAGCCTCAACTTTGTCCGGCAGAGTACCTGGTGGTTTCGAACTGCTGACCTTGCGGTTAGCAGCCCCACACGTAACTCATTGCGCCATCAGGATTTGGGGAGTCTTTGGTGAACCCCCAAACTCGTGGCTGGACAGCGTGTACCCCAAAGCGCACAAACACAGCCCCAGATGCCACACAGACAGAAGATGTAACCAAATGGTATACCAGGAACAATCATTGCACCGCACTTCCACCGGTGGCTGGCAGCCTGCCTACCTTTGAGTCAGCACTGACTCATGGAGACCCCATGATGACAAAGCACAAGTGGACACCACCGAGTTTTCAATGGCTGATTTTTCTGAAGTCAGTCGCCAGATCATTCTTCCCAATTCCCTCTCCGTGACCTGGACCGTCCATCCCTACAGTGCCTTAACTGTTTGCACCACCCAAGAACTGCCCCGCCAATGGCGTGGAATTACAAAGGGCCTCGTCTCATCCACTCATATGGAAACGGAGGGTGAAGTGAGGCCACGGATGGAATGTGGTTAAGTCACAAAGACCGTGCTCAATGTCATAACACCGAGATAAGGTCAGGAAAGAACCCTTAGGTGCCTATTTCCATCACATGTGTTAAAAAGAATGCTGACATCTTGCCAGATGTTGATGCTTGTTCATATCTTGGAGTTCCTGAATAGAATAAACTACTAGCTGACCCTCCTAGCTTCACCTCGGAAGGCAGGGCTGGCATATGCTCCAAAAAGTCACAGCTGGAAACCCCTGGAATGCTTCCCCTCTGTCCACATTGGTTCCCCTAAGTAGAATTCAGGGATAGGCAACTAACAGCATTCTTATCCTGCACTCCAATGGCAAATGGAAGGAAATAGAAGATTCCATGTGGGATTCCTAACCTCCTGTTGGAAGGTGAAGCGACTCCAATATACAGTGCAGTAATGACTGTTGTTTTTTTTTAATTGTTTCTGCATGTTGGATTGGCTTCAAAACCAGATTGAAAGCTGGATTTAAACAATAAAAGATAAACAGTTAAAAGGTTCTTGGTATTCCATCTTCAGAAAAAAATTACAAAATCACTTTACCTAAGATTCTTTCAGTACTTGCTATAAACTGTTATTTGAAGCACCATGCTCACCACTAAGTGTATAAATTCACCAAACCAAACCATTGCCCTTGCATTGATGCTGACTCTGTTTTGACAGAGTAGACCTGCTGCATAGGGCTTTCGTGGCCATGCTCTGCAGAGGATGAGCTCCAGGCCTTTGTGCATGCACTCAGCATGGCTGAGTGGATTCAAACTACTAAATGTTCTGTGTAGAGGAAGAGTGAAAATAATTTCTGCCACATAATGACCTTACCAAATAGACGAGGGAACTTCGAAAATGTGTGAAAAGGTGAGATTAAAATGTAAAAATGCATAAGCTTCATGTCTCAACACAAGCTTCATCAAGGTCAAGACACTTTTGTAAGCTATGACAGCAACCATTTAGCTCATCCCTAAAGAATCCAGGGACTTGGGCATTTAACTATGAAAGCTTTTTTTTTTTTTAATGCATTAACTGAAAAAAATATACCCTTTAAAGCTTCTTCTTCTTTTTTTTTTTGAAGACTCAGAACAAAAAGGGGTCAGAAGGAGCCAAATCAGGACTGTCAAGCGGATGTCTCTAACAAATTCCCATCTGAATGCTTTTGTTATAGAGGGCTGGGCAGGGAGGGCCATTGTCATGGCGGAGAAGGACGCTCTGGTGAAGCTTTCCTGCTAAAGCTGCTGCTAAGTTTCTCAAAACAATTTCATAATAAGTAGATGTTAGTATTATTATTATTTGTCCTTCAGAAAACCAACAAGCAAAATGGTGTGGGCATCCCATAAGATGATTGTCATGATGCCTGCTCTGGGCCAGTCGGCTTTTTCTTGGCTGGACCACTTCCTTCTCATAGTGCCCATTGCTTTGGTGGTGCTTTGTCTTCAAGATTGTACTGGTAAAGACATGGTTCCTCGCCTCTGAAAATTCTTCCAAGAAACGTTGCGTCAAGATCTTCATCCTCTTTATTTAAAATTTCCACCCAAAGTGCTACTCTTTTCTGCAGTGGATCTGGGTGAAATAGTTTTGGCATTCATTGAGCAGAAATGTTGTGCAACTTTACTTTCTTTCTGTTGGAATTGTATCCATGGGATCAAACAAGATGTCTATACTATTTTGGCTATTGTTCCTGATGTTGATCATTGGTCCTCTTCAATTAGAGCATGAAAACGATTAATTTTTTCTTTGAAAATGGGTGTGGATGGTCTGCCACTGTGGGCTTCATCTTCACCATCATCTCATTGCCCCTTAAAACTAGTCATCCATTTGTAACCCACTAATCTTTGAGGCAGTGGCCTCACCAACTTTTCAGAAAGCATCAGGGATTTTGCCATTCTTCCACCCAAGCTTCACCACAAATTTAACATCTGTTCTTGTTTCAGTTTCAGCTTTTTCCAACTGATGTCTTAACCTCAGTGCATCATCCTAAGTCTAGTTTAAACATATTATAACAAGTTAGTACATATTTTTCTGGGGCAAAACAGCGTAAAATCCATGCATGGTCACCCCCCCCCCCCTAATATGTATTTCCATGAAGTGTTTGAAGACTTCTCATATACCAAAATCAAACCAAACCGAACCCTGCTGTTGAGTTGATTCCAACTCCCGAGAACCCTCTGGGATAGGGAAGAATTGTTCCTTAGGGTTTCTGAGACATTAAATCTTTAAGGAACCATCTTTCAAGTGGCTGGTGCTTTGAACTACCAATGTATCTGTTAGCAGCTCAATGTTTAACTGTGTCACGAGGGCTCCTTCATTAAATATATACAACACGTTTACTCCTAACAACTTCTGAGGAAAAGATAGTAACATTATCTTCATTTTTCAGATGAAGATACCTTTTACAGACATCCAAGTTCTCACAGTTAGAAAATGGGTGATGAGAGAACCCAGGCAATGTGATTCTACTGGGCAAAGTACCAAGTTCTCCCACTACTATCTACATAAACACTAAAAATGCTGATAAAACCCCAGACCAAACGCACTACCACTGAGTTAGTTCCCAGTAACAACTATCTAAACAGGGCTTCCAAGCCTGTCAGTCTTCACAGGAGCAGACTGCCTCATATTTCTCCAATGGAGCCCCTATGGGTTTGAACTCCCACCTTGCCATAAGCAGTGCTGGCTTACCAGCCATTATCACCACAGCTGCTTCCTCTGATTTAGAGCATTGCCTTTGAGAGTATCTATATGCTGTTAATTTCTGCTCAGTTCTGTTACTCAGGAAAATCAGAAAATGCAATGATCATTAAAAGAATCTTTAAAAAAATATTTTCCATGCTTAAAATAAATGGAATTAATAATCAAGATCGAGTTCCTTTTTTTAATCCTGTGATGCATAGCTCTCAGAATATACTTTTTTGTGCTTTTATGTTTTTGTCAAGACACTAAACTACTATTGGGAAGCAGAAGAGATAATTTAGATAACTTTAACAAAAAATGTTTCCCAGGATACTCTTATAAATATGAAAGGTCATTTATTAAATGTGGTAGGATAAGCATTTCCTCCTCTTTCAAGCTCTATTCTGCCGCCTACACATCTGAGGTTTGGGCTACTCATGAATTGATTTGTGGTTGTTTTTGTAATTTTTTTTCTTCTGAATTACTGTTTAGTTTATTTTTTAATGAAAGAAAACCATGATATAAATAATACTTTCATTGATTACCATCAATTAAGTAACAAGAGGAAATGTTTCAGTGTTTGTCATCAAAAGTCCCTTGTTAATCAACAACCACAAACTAATGAGAAACAGGATAGGCCTGTTGTTGGGTGCCATCCTCACAGCGACTGTCTGTGAAGAGGAAAGAAAAACTGCCTGCTCTTGTCCCATCCCCACACCTGTTGCTTTGTTTGAGCTATTGTGTTGGTCCATCTTAAAGAGGGTCTTCTTTTTGGTTGACTCTCCCCTTTACCAAGCATGATGTCCTTCTCCAGGAACTGATTGCCCAAAGTACAAAATGATGAGAAGAAATCTTATCATTGCTTCAGGTAACATGCATTCTGGCCATTCTTTTAAAACAGATTAGTTTGCTTTTCTGACCGTCTATACAATATTCAATATTCCTTTCTAGCACTATAATTCGAATGTACCAATTAATCTTTAGTCTTCCCTATTCATTGTTCAGCTTTCATGTGCATGAGGCAATTGAAAATACCACAGTGTGGTAGTTACATAATCTCCTGTCAATTTGAGAGTATTAAGAGTGAGGGGAAGAGAAGAAAGGAGTCTTGGGAGAAAAAAAAAAGAGAGAGTGAAAGGATGGAGTCTAGTCTGTCAGTCAGGTCACAGTCTGATGATGCCTTCTAGTGGACATGACCTCATGAGGATTCTGGGAACGTCCTTGTTCTCTCTGCCTTTGTTTTCCTGTTGACAAGCCATGCAGAGACTTGCTGACCCCTGAGAGAGCCTCTCTCTCTCTCTCTGCTTCACTTTCCTGCTATTGAGACACTCAGAGAACTGGAGGAGCCACATGGAGACCTGTGCTAGTGCTGAGATGCTTCACCATCATTGGATCCACAAGGCTTTTCACCTACTGGCCTGTAATCTTCTGAGGAAGAATTTATAGACCAGTATCAGACTTATAGGCTAATATCAGACTTATGGACTTGATCTGGACTGGGTTGGGATGTTTTCTTAATATACAATTACTCTTTGATATAAAGCTCTTTCTTGCGCATATATCAGTGTCTTTGGATTTGTTTCTCTAGTCAACCTGGACTAACACACATAGTTAGTGGGTCAGGCATGCTTGAGACTTCAAAGTGATACCTTTGCATTTTAAAGAGGCCTTTGGCAGAAGTTTTATCCAATGCAACTTGTCTTTTGATCTCTTGGCTGCTACTTCTGGGCCGATAGGTAACATCATAATAAATGAAGAAACGATTGAAGTCGTCAAGGATTTCCTCTTACTTGGATCCATAATCAATCCTCATGGAAGCAGCAGTCAAGAGATCAAACGATCTATTGCACCGAGTAAATTTGCTGCACAAGACCTCTTTAAAGTGTTGAGAAGCAAAGATGTTGCCGCGAGGACTACGGTGCACCTGACCCAAGCCATAATATTTTAAATCACCTCATGTGCAGGTGAAAGATATTGAATAAGATGAGAATTGACACATTTGAATTATGGGGCCGGTAAAAAATATTTAAAGTACCATGGCCTGCCAAAAGAACAAACAACTTTGTCTGGGAAGAAGTATGGCCAGAATGCTCCTTAGAGGCAAGGGTGGCAAGATCAGGCCCTGGAGAAGGGACATCATGCTTGGTCAAGTGGAGGGGCAGTGGAAAAGAGGAAGGGCTGGACCAGATGGATTGACAGTGGATGCACCACTGCTCTCAAACATAAGAACACCTGTAAGTTCTCTGGACAGGGCAGCATTCTGTTCTGTTGTACATGCGGTCACTGAGTCAACTCCATGGCACTTGACAGCAACATCTGGCAGAGGCCTCCACACAAAACCAAAACCCCACTGCTATTGAGTCCATTTTGACTCATAGCAACCCTGTAGGGCAATGCAGACCTGCCGTACAGGGTCCTTAGGCTGTACATCTTTATGACAGCCGACTGCCACATTTTTCTCCCACAGGAATGCTAGTAGCCGAGTGCTTTAACCACCGTGCCACCAGAGGCCTAGATACAAAATATAGAAAGCTAGTAAATAATATGATTCCTTGAAAGTCTAGAAGTAGAGAACATTCATGAGAAAGATCTGTATATTAATGCCTTTAAAAAAAATTGTGTTTTTTAGCCAAAATGCCTCCCACCCAGGCAGAAAGTGTTATCAAGAATATCATTCGAGAAATAGGACAAGAATGTGCGGCTCATGGAGAGATTGTTTCAGAAACTTTGGTTGCTTTTATGGTAAGAATGAAGATATTTGTGAATTACTACTTTATTTAAAAATATTTAAATAGAAAAATTTGAAGCTTTTCTTGATGTTATTCAGTTTAAAGTATATTAATATTGTGTAAGATGCCTGTAACTTTTATTCTTTCAAAGCCTACAAGCATGTGTACTCTACATTTAGTCTTAGAATCACTACTAATATTTTCTTCCTGTGTAGGAATGTTAACATGTATTTTTTCTGGTTATGGTTACTATTACTCAATGTCATGACCCCCCTGCTAGGCACAATCATTGCTTTCAACTTATTATTCTGTATACATTTCCTAGCACCCTTTTCAGTTTGCTTTCTTTTATCAATCACTGATGAAGGAGGTGAAGAGGAGTTGGGCAATATGGAAACAGCTGAATCATCAGCCCCAGAGTAAGCAGGATACAGGTGTTAAATAAATGGAAACACATGAAGTGCATTTCTACATAATTTGGAATAAAATGAGTTAATGAAGTCTTCTCCTACTCTCAGGTGAAAGCTATTGTCCTGGATCCAAGTAACGGCTTCCACATGGACAGAACCCTCATAAAAAGCGACGTACAGAAGCTGGTTAAGGTGATTATCCAGCAAGTCTCAAAGTCGGAATCCTTTCTTTTCAAAATTACATCCCTTTATATCCGTTGCTATTGCCTGCAGATGCATGAAAGAACAGGAGCAATTACTGCGATGGTCAGACAGACGCGTTAGATCGCCATGTTTGTTTGTGTTGGTTTTCTGTCAGTTCATTTTAGTTGAAAAGTCTCAAACTTTTTAACAGCACAGGTACATAACTGAATAAAATACATCGTAATTCAAGGGGAAAATAGTATCCTTTATCTCAGTTTAAAATTATGTGGATGAACTAATCTTTTCATTTATTAAATCAGGTTTTAAAGCAGTACTTCTACTTGGATGATCCAGGGAGACAATCTTCCCTAAAAATCATAATTCCAATCTTCACTCCCGTATTCTCCTCCCAACCCCATTCCCCAACCTGTCAGGAAAGCAGGCCCTGCCGGAGGTGGGTGTGAGGGTGTTGATGCTAATGTGCTGGCGTAGGTGCACTGTAAGGAGTGAGGTGACCAAACAGAAAAATTCAGGTTGAGTCAAAAAGGAGAAGGCAGCGAAGTGAACAGAGCCATCTATGTTGAGGACGCACGCACGCACGCACGCATGCTTGAGAAATTATGAAATAGAAGGCCCGGGCCAGACAAATTTTGTGAGGTGAGGAAGGTAGGTGCAGCAGCTTTTTGTAAAATGCATGTGAGGTTCACCATCAGCACAGAATGAGTGTTCCCGACTCAAATAAAAGAGTAAAGAGGAATTCTAGAAGGACACTAGGCAATATTAGACGCTTCATTGGACATTTAACTACATAACCTAACCAAAACTGTCAAGATTCTTGCCTTCAATTCTATTAGCCCTGGTCATGTAGATATTATTTAATTCAGGGAAAATAACTTGCTGAAAAATAATTGAGTATAAATATATAATGCTGATCAGGTAGCCTATAAAGCATGAAGTCTTCAAAGGGAAAGATAATTAGAAAAATAGATAAATCTCATAATCATTGCTTACTTTTGAAAATAACTTTAGCAAAAACACTTCTAAATGTTTTGGGAAATGTAAACCAGAACTATTTGTGGGGTTTTCTTTTCTAGCTCTGTGTGACTCGGCTATTGGATAACAAAAATCCATCCCTGGACACCATTAAGATGCAAGTGTACTTTGATATGAATTATACAAGTCGAGGTAACACATGCTTATTCATTTTGGATAATTTTTCAAAGGATTTCATATTTCCTTTAGGTAATAAACAATTTTGGGAGGGTGGCAATATTTTGAAAGGTTTTCCAGCTTTGAGAATATAATAATATTGGAATTGCTGTGGGAGAAAGTCAACAGTGGCCTTTGTGAGTATTAAAATTTCATTTTAATTATGATGCCATAATAATTATGTTTCCAAGTCTATTGTGTTATAACCTTTATGATAGTAATACATAATAATTAGAAATTAAAACACCCACTGAAATTGAAGTTCAAAAGTTTTCATTTGCATATTTTTTCTTTGTTCTTGGTTTATAGCTTAGAAAATCTTAGCTAAATTATGTAACTGTCCATAAAGGAAGGGATGTTGGGAAGCTTAAGTTTAAAATATTTTACCATGTGGACAATTTAATACATGTATCAAAGATGAGTTGGAAACAAGAGAGAGAAAACAAATTTATCTGTAGACCACCTTGTCACCACTGTATTGAAATCACTATTAATTACTTTGTGATTTTTCTTTGTCTTTTTGCTCTCTAGGTATTGGGCTTTTAGTTGTGCTATATATTTAGGATCATGTGTCTTGCTTTTGTGTTTAATCATGATGACTCTTTAAAGTGATAAAATGATCATGCAATTAATGTAATTATAAGTGACTTTTTCATTTGCAAAAGTTACCAGTTGTTTTGTGAAAAGATTTTAGTTATGAACTATCTATAGTAAGTATGTGAATTCCTTTGTAATGGTAAATGGGATGTGTCTCCTGCCACATTTAAGTTTAGAGCTCAGTATATCACAGGGAGAAGAGGGATATAGTTCTTGATGTAACATTATAGATTACTGGAACTGTTATTCAGAGGAAACTTAACCAAAACCAAAATAGAATTACATATATTTGAAGAATATACAGCATTACATATATACACACATATATGTCTTGGTATGACTTGATAGCAGTGGAATTGGCTTGGTTTGCTTATATAATAAGTATATATATGTTCACACACACATACAAACTCAAAATAACTCACTGCCATCAAGTTGATTGCAACTTATAGTGCCCCTATAGAACGGTGTAGAATTGCTCGTGTGGGTTTCTGAGACTGTAAATCTATATGAGAGTAGAAGGCCTCATCTTTTTCCCATGGAGCAGCTGATGGTTTCTAACTGCTGACCTTGGCGTTAGCAGCTCAACACGTAACCCATTATGCCACCAGGCCTCCTAACCATATATATAGAACAACATACTCATAGCGATGGAATGTGTTTTCATACATAGGGTGACTGAGATTGTATCTCCGTAGGAGTAGATAACCGCATCATAAATAGATAGATATAGATATAAATGTGTATATATACACATTTCCTTTTACATTGTTCTTCTCATTTGGGAGGCTTTTAGCCCTCTCGATATTTACTATCTAAAGTGTGATTCTCTAGCTAAAGTCTACTGTGTTTTGACAAAAGGAGCCCTGGTGGCACGGTGGGTTAAGTGCTGGGCTTCTAACTGAACGGTCATCTGCTCTGTGGGGAAAGAGGAGGCTGTCTACTCCTGTACAGACTTCGTCTCAGAAACACCATGCATCAACATTGACTGCATAGCAGGGAGTTTGGTTTTGTTTGATCTTTTGATAAAATATGCCCTCCCTGTGAGTCAGAAGGCTACTTACTTGTTGGCTACTGTTTATTTTTATTTTGGCTGTTACACTCTAAGAAAACCTTTGTTTTCATGTAGTAGAATTGCTATTCTCTAATCATTTTTCTATGGTCTTCTATAAACAGTATTCTAAATATCAATGATATGGAACATTGTCCTTTTCCAATTTTAGAGGAATTTCTTCAAGAGCATCATCGGGTCCTAGAGTCTAGGTTAGGCACTATTAGCAGAGAAATTACAGATAACAGGTCATGTGCTAGAGAAGAATTGGAGAGCCTCTATCGGAAGATTGTCAGCTATGTGTTACTACGCTCTGGGCTTGGATCCCCAACAGATATCAAGATTGTCAGAGAGGCAACAGGTAAAAAATAAAGCCAATTCTGTGTTCCCTAAGTGAAGAATATATGATCATTGTTTTTTTCTTTTGATACATTTAAAAGAAAATGTACAATAAAAAGAAATGTTGGGAATTGAAGTTCCCTTTTTATCTCGATTAAAAACAAAAAAGCAAATGCACAGACAAGAGATAAAGGCTTACCTGGACTCCTTTTAAACTGTGCATCTACTCTAAAAATGAAATCTTATTTATTTTCTTAGAGCTCTGTGTTTTAGGCCTCTCACACCTCATCAAAACTTCAGCAATATGATTAAAGATATCAGAGCGATTGGCTACAGGGGCAGCTGGCATCAGAGGTTTCATGTTGACAAAAGAACTTGAGTCTGTCACTTAAAATAGATGATGGGACAGGACACTTGTTTAGCCTCCGGAAATGCTTACCCACTTTCATCCCTGAACACGGAGACTTGGTGACTTCTCCAGTCTTTCTCCAGTCTATGGCTTTCTTCCATAATTCTTTTAAAAGTTATTTTTTCCACAGCTCACAACCTTAATTAGAAAACTTGTTTTAATTCGGATGGCCATATATATTTGATGAAGACTATATTAATAGAAATAGACCAGAAACAATAGCATGATTTTTCAGTAGTCTGGGCTTTGATATTCAGATATCAGACATTTCAAGAATCATATGTATCCCAACCCGAACCCGAACCCACGGCTATACTAAGTCAATTCTGACTCATTGAGACCCTAAAAGCCAGAGTAGACCTGCTGCTTTGGGTTTCATAGATCTTTATGGTAGAAGAAAGCGTCATCTCTCCAGGAGTGGCTGCTGGATTTTAACTGCTGACCTGCGGTTAGTAGCCCAAATATATATATATATATATACATACACACACACACACACACACACACACACACACACACACACACATATATATACATACACACACACACACACACACACACACACACACACACACACACATATATATACATACACACACACACACACATAATTTTATTGGGTGCTCTTACAACTCTTAAAACAATCCATATATCAATTGTATCAAGCACATTTGTATATATGCTACCATCATTTTCAAAACATTTTCTTTCTATGTGAGCCTTTGGTATCAGCTCCTCTTTCCCCCTCCCTCCCCCACCTTCCCACTCTCTTGACCCTTTGATAAATTATAAATTATTATTATTTTCATATCTTACACCATCTGTCTCCCTTCACCCATGTTTCTGTTGCTTGTCCCCCATAGGGGTAGAGAGGGAGGCAGGTAGTGTGTTGACTATTACACTGGGTTCTTCCTTTCTCCCCCTTCTCCCCCCACCTGCCCTCCTGGTATCACTACTCCCATTATTGTTCCTGAGGGGGTTATCTGTCCTGGATTCCATGTGTCGGGGGCTCTAGCAAAATTTGTAAGGTAGAACTGGGGTCATGATAGTGGGGTGGGGAAGCAATAAAGAACTAGAGGGATGTGGTGTGTTTTGTCGGTGCTATACTGCCCCCTGGCTGACTCGTCCCTTCCTCGTGACCCTTTTGTGAGAGGATGTCCAATTGTCTACAGATGGGCTTTGGGTCTCCACTCTGGCCCCCCTCACTCCCATAGATATAACAGCCCAATTCTAACCCACTGTGCCACAAGGACTCCTACCTAGGCTGTTGTATCAATAATCCTCAAAAGGCAAGTCCTTTAACAACTTTGTGCAGAAGGAAGAAAAAGAACCACTTTAGTATTTAAGTTTGAATATCTTTTTTTCCTGCCAATTTTTCCCCTCTTTGTGCTTTACTTTAGCTGCTCTACAGAGTGTTTTTCCTCAGGCTGAGCTTGGGACATTCCTAACTCTCTCTAAAAAGGACAAAGAACGCCAATTGAAAGAACTCACCATGATTGTTACTGGAATCCGTTTATTTAACAGAGACTGTGGAAAGGGTGGAGAAGGCATTGATGACTGTAGGTATATTCAGCTAATTTGATAAATCTGTGATGATTTACATGAGGGAAATAGTACATACCACACCATTAATACTTGCAGTTTTGATCATTCCTGAAGGACTGCTACTGTTGATAGTATATCCAAAAGCCAAATGCACTGCCACGGAGTCAATCCTGACTTATAGGTATCCTACGGGACAGAGTAGAACCCCCTTCGTGGCGTCTGAGACTAACTCTTTACTGGAGCCCACAGCTTCATCTTTCTCCTGTAGAGCAGCTTGTTTCAAAAAGCTGGCCCTGCGGTTTGTAGCCTAACCCACTGATGTTGTTAGGGCAGAACTTTTAACTTTCATGCACTGTAAGCAGTATGGAGAGTGAATCAGTGAAAGAGATGAGGGGACCTGCTCAGATACCAGCATTTTCAAAACCTTACTTCAAGACAAATATCTGGCAGGAGTAAAACTCACTGCTTTAAAACATAAAATCACCCTTAAAAGAAAACAGCTGCTGGTGCAGTTAACGAAGGGAGAAAAGTCCAAGAGGACATATTTGCCAATCTATAAATCCAGGAGTGTCTGTCATGAGGACATATTTGCCAATCTATAAATCCAGGAGTGTCTGTCATGAGGACATATTTGCCAATCTATAAATTCAGGAGTGTCTGTCATGGTGTTTGATCATTCATTCATTCTTTATCTAGGAGTCTGAAAGTAAGCATTCATGAAGTGTTTGATCAAAGACCTTCTGTTAGAAAAAACTTACTGAAGAATTGGATACTTTTGGAAGCCCACTGGAAAGGTGTTAGTGTTCAGATAATTAGGGTAATTTTTAACCTCTTAAAAATTGCTCTGGAAAGGCAAATTTTCATTCTGGATAAATACTCATCCCATGGTAGACTGTTCCATTTTCAGTATCCTGATGAGTTCATTGAGTAGCACAGACTCTCCCTCCTTTCTTACAAATAAAGAAGTAGATGTAGAAAGAGAAATCACTGACTTTCTAAGAGTATATGGTCAACACACAGAGCTACATAATGCCCGAGCTTACCTAGTCTTTGGACTCCACTACTTCAATTGCAAGACTGACCTGCCCTAACTTTTGGTTATCTTTCAGACAGCATCTTTTGTCTGCATCGGGGTTTCAGTATCCCTTCCATCATGGTGCGGAACCCAGGAGACATATGCCTTATTATTATCAATTTAATTGGGAAAAAATAAATTCAACTTAATGCTTAAGACATAACCACTCTCTAGGGTTTTCTGTCTCAGTTCTTTTATACTCTTTTATGAATCTTTTATACCCTTAAAACAGTGCCAGCTATTCTACATGAAGCAATTCCAGGTACCACTCAGCATATTGATAACCAACTTCAAATTGCTCAGGACCTTGCCTTCAGATACACAGCCATCCTTGAGAAATTAATACAGAACCCACTCATGAGTCAAGAACTTCAGTCATATATGTTAAAAGAAGCACTATTCAACATCCGACAATATGAGATATTCCTTCAGATAATTTTGGTGAGTTAATGTCACAATATTGGCTTTTTCCATATACGGGCAGACCTCAGAGATATTGTGGGTGCCATTTCAGTGACTGTAATAAACAATCTCACAATAAGGTAAGCCACACAATTTTTTGGTTTCCCAGTGCATATAAAACTTATGTTTATGTTATACTCTAGCCTACTAAGTGTGCAATAACATTATGAAAAAAAGTTTGAAATATTGTGAGAATTAACAAAATGTAACATAAAGACATGATGTGCACACATGCTGTTGGGAAAATGGTGCCCATAGATTTGCTCAACCCCAGGTTGCCACAGACCTTCAATTTGTAAAAATACAGTATCTGCAAAGGGCAATAAAGCAAAGTACAATAAAATGAAATATGCCTTTGTGGAACCTCTACATATTATGGGACTAAAATAAAACCACACCATCGATTAAGAAGGCAACCTTGAGTTGCAGTGAATTTGCTCAGTTTACATTGGATCTATAGGATCAAGACCCAAAATAGAAATGGGAAAGTAGAATTTTGATTTGAATGAAACGTGTTAGAATGGCTGATTCTCTTTGTTATGCTACTGTATGATGGTTAGCATGCTGTAGTTAAAGAGTGACATTTGGGTGTGTGTAGGTAATACTGGTGATGTTTATTTTCATTAGGAACAAGTGCCTAACAGTGTTTGGCAGCTAATCAACACTCAAATGTTTGATGTAATTACTTATCCTTACTGTGATCAATGTGAAAAATCACTTAAGATATTTTTTACTTCTGTTGTTTTGAGAACCAGTGTGTAAGCCAAACAAGTATCCCCACAAAGTTGGAAAAATTTAAATTTTGTTAAGAAGCAGAGCCCTCTATTTCAGATAGAAACTTATTGAGAATCCTAAAAATATAAAGCAGTCATCAGGAGGAAGATGCATTGGAGGACCCTCTTATCAAAGGTCAGGATAAGTCAGGTTCAGGATGAGTTCTTGAAGCTTCTTTACTCTTTACTTGTTCAGTGTTTGTTCTTATTGTTGAATTTTTAACTACCCATTCCTCCCCCATTCACATGCCATAGTTTCAGTTAAAACTGATTATCATCTATGGATATTAGATTAATCAGTACTGTCTCTAAGTTATAAAATATGCCAGTTAATTTACCTTTAGCTGAGATATTTTCCTATCTTGAAATTTATGAATATCTTAAAAGTCATATTATTTGATATAATTTTGGGAAGTATTGATTTTGATTGAAAAAATGTCTCTTGCTACTATTACATTCAGTTTACATAAACCATTTTCAAATCCTCTTGTCACCTTGGTGAGATAGTGGTTTATTTTGATATCTACTACAATGAGCAATTTCAAATATTTTGGAGAAAGAAAGGGGTGGTAGTCAGTCTTGTTGACTGTCTTAGCTGAGAGAACGGAATTCCTTCCTCTGTGAGCTTTCAAGTTGCAAGCTGCCTATTGTTTTTATGTAAAGGAAAGTTATGTTTGACTCATAACACTTCTTAAAATCTGCAAGACTTTTGAAGACTCCTATAGTTGGGTTGCAGGTCCACTTATATAGTAGATGCACACTTTTTTCTTTTCATGCAAGTTAAAAAATCAGTTCGATAGAATATGTGCCTGTTTTAGATTTGTTGAAAATGGCCGATGAAAGAAAGTCTGAACTTGAAACTATCTAAAGGGGTAGCAGCAGTAGCAGCAAGTTGCGTTCACGTGCTTTCCCCGAGGGTTGACTGCACCGTCGGGGAAAGTGTGAGGTGACAGCATACCTAGAGGACTAACCTTACAGCCAAAATTCACAGTTGTGACACGTTTTTGTTTTGTTTTCTCAAAATGTTTAGAGTAACAGTTTTAGAACATTACCAGGGAAAATATAACAAATCTGAGTGGCTATTGTGTGACAGGGCCCCGCAAACATAGGTCGTGGGAAGAGAAGCTCAGAGGATCTTTAATTTTGGACATTGGAGAGTGTACATGTGAAGAATGCTGACATGGCACGTGCTTTGTTATATGGATCTATCCCACGATTGCATGTTCATATTTGATTCTTAAAACTAAACGGGAAAAGGGGGGGGGATTTGTGGGTAGGCAAAAGACTTATTAATCCAAGGTGTGGTTCTTGTTAGGTGCCATGGAGTCAGTTCTAACTGCTAGCGACCCTATGCACAACACAATGAAGCACTGCCTGGTCTTGCACCAGCCTCATATCTGTTCTTATGTTTGAGGTCATTGTTGTAGCCGCTGTGTCAATCCATTTTGTTGATGGCCTCTCTTTTTTTCATTGCCCCTCTACTGTACCAAGTGCGATGCCCTTGGTGTGTCAGAGGGTGGTGTGCCCTGACAACATATCCAAAGTACAGGAGACAAAGTCTCCCCATCCTTACTTCTGAGGAGTATTCTGGCTGTCCTTTGGCCAAGACAGATTTGTCTGCCTTTTTTGTAGCCATGCTACTTTCAATATTCTTTACCAGCACCTGAATTCAAATACATCAACTCTTCTTAATGTCAAATCCTTCACATTGAAATGAGGTCATTGAAAATACCATGGCTGTGTGAGGCACACCTTAGTCCTGAAAGAAAAAAAAAATCATCCTTACATTTTAACACTCCAAAGAGGTCTTGAGATTTACCCAATGCAATGTGTTGCTTGCTCTCTTGACTGCTGCCTCCATGAACATTGATTATGGATGGATCCAAGCAAGATGAAATCCTTGACAACTCCGTTTATCATGATGTTACCTACTGGTCCCGTTGTGAGGATTTTGGTCTTCTTTACATGGAGTTGTAATCAATGCTGAAGGCTGCAATCCTTGCTCTTCATCAGCAAGTGCCTCAAGTCTTCCTCACTTTCAGCAAGCAAAGTTGTGTCATCTGCATATCACAAGTTGTTAATAAGCTTCTCTCCAATCTTGATGCCGTAATCTTCATATAATCCATCTTCTCTAACTATTATACGAATAAGATATAATGATAGGATAGATAATATATAGGAGAATTAAACAAAAGGAAGAAAAATGCTTTAACAGTATTTTGGGTAAAACTAAAACAGGATATATGTTATGTTTGTGAAGTCAGATTTTGTTAGTTGGCATACAGTAAAATTTCATATTTCTTATGATGCAGTTGCTTGTATCGTTAAACAATAGTAAAGCATTAAGTTAGATCATATGTGAGCACAAATATTTTTTTATCTTCAAATAAATGCCATTCTTAAGTACTTTACTGATAGTGTGATAAGCTAACACCATTTGAACACATATTCGACAGTGTCATAGAAAGGTTAAGAGCTGAACTCTGGGCTCAAATGGTCTGCGGGAGAACCATGATTGTACCTTTTGTTAGCTGTGGACAATTTACTTACTCTTTTTATACCTGTGCTTAATATAAGGTGTCCTGGTGGTGCCATGATTAAGTGCACAGCTGCAAACAAAAGGTTGTCAGTTTGAACCTACCAGCAGCTCCACAAGAGAAAGATTTACAGCTTGGAAACCCTATGGGGCAATTCTACTCTGTCCTGTAGAACCCACGTGCTATGAGTCTGAATTGACTGGCTATGTTAGCACATAGTAAGAATAAATCAAGCACTTGCTGATGAAAATCAAAGACTACATCTGTCAGTGTGGATTGCAACTCAATGTAAAGAAAGCAAAAATACTGACAACTGAGCAATAGGCAGCATGATGGCATCGGTATCAAAATAGTTTCCAAAGGAATACCTCGTTAAATATTCTCGGTGAGGAAAATACAAGATATTTAAAGCTATGTTAGAAGGACAACTTTTCAGATATGAGAATTATCCTGAATTGTGTTGACTATTAAAGAATACCTACATACTTTAAGAAAAATACAATAATTATTTCAAGATATTCATTCATCCAAAAACATATATTTCTAGAGAACTTTCTATATGTTATTACTATGGCCGGTTCTGGGGATAAAATCGAGAACAGTTCTGCTCTCTTACCCTTAGGGATGTGGGAAAAGGGCCGGGTTTAAACCACATATGATTTTTATAGTTAAATTATAAAATTGTTAATGCAAATTTCACTGTCTTCACAGTCAGATATAATTACTTGTGCCCAAGAGGTGGAAATGATGACACAGCAGTTAGCAGCCCAATTGGAGCAATTAAAGATGACTGTTAAATCGAAGACTGCTGTCCCAACATCACAAGTCTTTGTAAGTATTTGTCCTCTGCTGTGATCTGTTTAAGGGTGTGAGTCCTGTAAATTAGATTAGAAGCCATTACATTTTTATTTAATTACTAAAATATAACATTAATTTTATCATGTGGATCCTGTCTTTTGTAGTTTTTTATAGTAATAGTTTGGATGGGAAGATTTCCCTTTATAAACAAATTGCTACAAAAGGAAGTGTGGCTATATAGTATGATCAAGATAAGCCAGCAACAGAAATAAGACAGAGTGCAGTGTTGAACATGTATTCATCCCAGCAGCTTGTCAGAAATTTTCCCCAGGAAGGAGTTGAGGTAAAATGTAACTTCTCTGAAGAGACAGATAAACAAGTGTGTGTCATGCCATGGGCTATGGCAGATAGTAATCATCTAGCTTACCAGGCCAACACTTCTACCTTCTGAGCACCTGTAACCATTTTATGAAGAAACATTTTTCTTCCCTCTTGTGCTCATTGTCAATCGCCCCCCATCCCCTCCTCAAAAGGCTGACTCCGCTCTTCCCATTTGGTTTTCTAACTCCAGATCTTTGCTGATTTCACCACAATACTTTGTTGTTTCGAGCTGCCTTTGAAATGTGCTGTCCAGTTCTTTTACTTCATAGTCTGTTCCGTTCGCTGTAGCTACTCTGCATGTAAGGTCAACTTTCTGAGTCTCTTCTGACATCACTTTGGTCTTGTCCCTTCTCAATAACGGTTTGCTTTCTTTGACTGTGATATTTTCGTCACCCTCCCACTGGTCTGGTCTCCATCAGTAGTGTTCACTGCATAGAATCTCTTCTTGAGCTGTCCTTTAAATTCAGATGAGATCCATTTAAGGTTCCATTTGGGTGCTCATAAATTTATTTTTCATTTTCTTCACCCTGAGATTTATATGATCAATTGGTGCTCTTTTTATTTTTAATTGGTGCTTTGTTCCACAATCAGCCTCTGACCTTGTTTTGGCTGATGATATTGAGCTTCTTTTTCATTTTTTCCCATATATGTAATCAATTTGATTCCTGTATTTTCTACCTAGTGAGGTCCGTATGCATAGTTGCTGTTTATGTTGTTGAAAACCAATATTTTCAAAGACGAAGTCGTGGGTCTTGCAAAATTCTATCGTGAGCTCCAGCTTCATTTTTATGACCAAAGCCATTTTCTTCTAACTGTGATCCTTTCTCTTTTTTTCCAACCTTTGCATTCCAATCACCAATAATTATCCAAGCATCCTATTGCCTGTTTGAGCCGTATCAGACAACAGAAGTTGGTAGAATTCTTTAATTTCTTCATCATTGGCTTTATTAGTTGGTAGATAAATATGAATAATTGTTGCCTTATATATCCTATTATATATAGCATTGAGCTTCAAAATCAATTTTGAAATGTTTTGGCAATGAATTTTATACCATTTATCTTTAATTTGTTGTTCCTAACATAGTAAACCATCTGATTGTTTAATTCAGTGTGGACAATGCCTAGGATATCAATCTTTATGCATTCCACTTCATTCTGAAAACCTTCAATTGTCTTAGATTCATACTCCACATTCCACATTATTATTAACAGATGTTTAGAACTGGATCTTCTCATTTTGAGCCATGCTGCATCAGCAAATGAAGCTCCCCAAAGCTTTGCTCCACTCATGTCCTTAAGGGCAATTCTACTTTGAGGCGGAAGCTCTTTGATACTAGTAACTTGAGTGCCTTCCAATCTGAGGGGCTCACCTTCCAACACTTTATCAGACAGTGTACTGCTGTTCATAAGGAGAAGCCTCTTTAAGGTCGCCCTTTAAAAGTGTCAGATATCCAAGTTCATCAATGAAAAATTCTATCTTCTACCAAACATTTGAACACAATTCAGACATGTTTTTTAACACTACATAAAAAGCATCATCCTTCTTCCATTGCCCAATCAGATGTTCATCATTTTCCTTGTTTTAAAAAAAATATTCTCCTATGTATTTTAGGCTGGGCTCTCAAGAGAAAAAAATGCCAGTATATAGCTTCAGAGAGAGAGAGAGAGAGAGAGAGAGAGAGAGATTTATATTAAGAAAATAGTTGACATAGTTGTAGAATTGAGCATGTTCCAAGTCTGGGCAAGTTCCGAGTTTGTGGGTCAGATGTTATAGGCTGGAGGCTTCTCCTGATTTATGTAGCTCTGGGGGTTGATGAACTCAAGATTATCAGGAAGATGACAGATTGTGGCTACAAAGGCAAATGAATTCAAGGCTAACAGTTCAGATGACAACTTACTGAGGACTCCCAGTATTGGCAGGCAATATAGCAGGCCATTATCAGTCCAAAGATTCAGATGCAGGATCCAGACCTGCCTTTTCACAACCTTCACTTATATTGTAAGCAGGCCACAACCATAAGGAAACGTCTTTTCAATTGATTGGTTGTTCAAAGCAGATCTCTTTATGGAAGTGACTGCATTGCACTAGATCTCATCATGAGGGATTACCAGGGTCTTAGCACCAAACCAGCAGTGGACACAAAACCTTAACTTCACATTGTGCCTTAGGTAGAAGTTTCCATAGCAAATTTGTTTTTCAATCAGTGGTTCATACACAAATTGTTCTGTGACATTAGTTGTGATCCCTGCAATATAGCAACACTCTCCCCTCTTACTTCCTGAGCCCCGCCATTTCTATTTATTCGGCTTCTCTGCCCCTTCCTGCCTTCTTATCTTTGTTGTTGTTAGGTGCCATCAAGTGAGCTCTGACCCATAGTGACCCTATGCACAACAGTTGTACCTGCAGCCCAATGCTGCAGCCACGGTGTCATCTATCTTGTTGAGGGACTTCCTCCTTTTCCCTGCCTCTCTGTTTTATCAAGTCCAAGGACTGGTCTCTCCTGACAATATGCCCAGGTATGTAAAGCGAAGTCATGCCATCCTTGCCTCTAAGGACCACTCTGGAGTAATTCTTCCAAGACAGACTTGTCCTTTTGGCAGACCATGGTACTTCATTATACTTCACCAGCACCATAAGTCAAATGCAACAATTTTTCTTTGATCTTCTTTATTCAGTGTCTAAGTTTCACATGCACATGAAGCAATTGAAATATCATGACTTGTCTCAAGGCACTTTTATAATGAAATTTGCAAATACAGAAGTAGAAAACCAAAAAGGAAGAACACATTCAGCATATTTTCTTTTTTAATAAATCATTTTATTGGGGGCTCTTAGAGCTTTTATAACAATTCATACATCAGTTCTATCAAGCACATTTGTACATATGTTGTCATCACATTCAGCATATCTTAAACCAAAAGAACTAAAAGGAAAATTCAAGCCTCTAGTTGAGATACCAAAATTAAATATTTTGAAATAAAATGCAAGTTTATTTTATCATAATTTAGAGGCTAATTTCTATCTAAATTTTGTGATACAACTTCATAAGACTTAAGCTTGATGAAGGAAGGCTTGATTTACAAATGCAATCTGTATTTACTTTCAAGAGTATAATCTATGCTTTTATTAAATAGTGGATTTTTTTCTCTCTTCCTCAGCCTGTTTTCATTGCACTTTCCAATCTGTGGACTAACTTTCAGGATGAAACAGTTTTGCTTAGTGTCCTCAGTAATTTAACCATGCACCTCGAGCCGTTCCTGGGAACGCATGAGCAACTCTTTCCAGAGAAAGTACTAAAGGATCTCCTTGATGGAGTGACTGTGAAATCCGATGTGTATCGGATAAAAGAACACATAGGTAATGAAAACTGTCTATTTATCTCTTCTTGTAAACATCACCTGTAACATAAAGGCTCTTTTTGTTTTAAAATTTAATGTTATATCTTTCCAATAAAATATTAAACATCATAATACTCATCGTAGCAAATATGGAAAAAAGGAAAATGTGTAAATTGAATGTCTTACTATCCAGCAATAGCCATTGCTAACATTATTGTTAACACCTCTATTGTTGACAGTGATTTTCTGTGCTTATGTATTTTCAGTGCCGTCGTAGTGATTTTTTAATTGATTTGAAGGTAAAAGGATACTAATCCTTTGCTCTATTTGTGTGGTAATGGTTAAAGCACAAGGCTGCCAAACAAAAGGTCAGCGGTTCAAACCAACCAGACACTCTGTGGGAGAATGATAGAGCAATCTGCTTACGACAGCCTTCGAACCCTCAGGCACAGGTGCTCTCTGCCCTACCAGTTGCCTTGACCTGAATTAACTGGACTGATGCCAATGGGTTTATTATTACAAATAACAAATAATGTTATTTCTTGGGAGTGCTATTTGGCCTATATCTGCCTCAGATTCAAATTGATGATTTATAAATCAATACATTTCTTCCATTTAACATTAATTTAGCTAATTTTAGGCCCTTCAAGAGATATTGATTCTTATGTAAAGGTTGCCTTTATCAAGAAAGTTGTTTTACTTTTTTGGGTCTAGTCTGTCTGGTAAATGCAACTTAAAATTCATGAGAGATGTCAAAATATATGTTAGAACTTGAGTTATTTCCTTAAAAAAAAGTTTTTCTGGAAAATGAAACTAGATCATTTATCAAATATATGTCACAAATTCTATTTTTAGAAAATAAAAATGTAACAGTAATTTGTTTTCTTAAATTATTAGAATATCTAGAAATTGTGAATGAAACAAATTCAAAGGCATCTTTTTAGCTCAGGCTTTTACTGCTCAAGGTCACAAGTTAATTCTGACTCTTAGTGGTAGTGTACATAGTTTCTGAAGCTGACGTCTGACCAGGACAGATACCTCATCTTTTTCCCAGAGAGCAGTTGGTGGTTTTGACCACTGACCTTGCACTTAGGAGTCCTATGCTTACCAAACCTCCTTTATATCTATGTAGTTTATACATTTATAAAAAATAAATGTCTAGTAAATTGTTGCTTATATAAATGATACATATTACATTTCAAAAATAGATTAAACTTGTATTTCAATATTAGTAAAATTGAAAGTTAATGTATTTAACCATTGGGTATTGAGCAGATAGTTCATTTACAACCTTTTAGATTTAGAGGAGTCATTTTTCACCATACAGCAGAGCTTTCTATTCGCTTAAACATGTTTATTGTTACTGCTCCAGTGAACTGAGAGCACCCAGTGCTCTATTGAGATTATTTAATTTACACCTGTCACATCTCATCACTACTTTAGGATTTGGGGCATATGAGTGGTGGGAAGGTTCCTTTTCTCCAAGTTATGCATTTGCAGTTCTACAAGGTCATTTATGGGCTTTTCTGTTTGGATAGAGAGCTGGGCACAGTGCGTTGTGAAAACTAAGCACCTTGGGGAGACAATCTTTTGTAAAGACACATTTTTATTTGTGCAAAAATAAAGGTCAATATTTGTGGTAATGATTGTAAAACTCTTCTTGATATGACTGAACTATGGAATTGTATGATATTTTTAAATTGTTAGTCATTTTGCTTATCAAATGTGAAAATGAGCCAACACTTGGAAGAGTTTTTGAAAATCTTAATACAAAGACAACAAAAATCATATACCCTGCTATTAAATCAGTTATAAAGAGCCATTTCCTTAACTTACTGTTGAGAACATTTTCAACTATTTCAAGAAGCAATAGTCCTAGTGTATAAACCTCATTGTTTACATAGCAGCCAACCTCTCCCACTCACCTCCTTATTTACTCTGAAGCAGCAGGAAGTGATCACATACCCTTTCTGAATTGCCTTTAGTCATCTCACTGCCATTGAGCCGATTCCTACCTATGGTGACGCTGTGAGATAGAGTCCTATCTCCTATGGTCTTTGGGTTCCTGAGACTGTAAATCTTTATGGCCTCATCTTTCTCCCAGGGAGCAACTGATGTTTTTGAACTGACCTTTGGCCCTTAGCTTAGTAGCCCAGCACAATCCACTGCACCACCAGCACAGCATGACTTCCCTGTATGGCTTTCCCTCTCTGTCCACCACATTTCTGCCTTGATGGTTCCAGAAACTTGGATACCCAGTGAGGTCACTGATATTTCTTTGTTTGAATTGCCTTACCCATAAATCTGGTTTTATGAATGTCATTTTTTTCAAGTAGAAAAAGTGTTAAGTTATAAAGAGTTATCGTTTACAATGAGCTACTGCTGTCTTATTTGGGAAATATAATCTTTTTATTGATAAAGTTTTTTCTCATACTCTTTTTCCACTTTAGAAGATAAAGTACAATTTCCAGATTTCAGAAAATTGGAGTGGCTCTTCCCAGAAACAACAGCAAATTTTGATAAATTGATAATTCAGTATCGGGGATTTTGTGGTTACACATTTGCTACGAAAGATGGTCTTCTCCTTCCAGGTACATCATTGGAAATAATACTTCATCCCTCTCCTGATACTGTTACATGAAGGGCTTTCCTTGCTGTTCACTTGTCAAGTTTCCCAGCTGTATCCGCTCAGATGGTGGACTAGAAGAGGGGTGCAAAGACCGGGCAGTGGCTTGGCCTTTGAGGCCCTCGTTGTATAAAGCAGGAGACCAACCTCAGCACGAAATGATAGTCCAAGGATAATGCAGCTAACGCCGGAGTCAAATGTCTCAGGAAGTCGTACTATAAACATGTAATACTCCAGATTAATTCTTTGAAAGGGCAACACTAATTTTGACTGACGTGTTTATGAAACATATTCTTTGTCACTTTATAGTTATATTCTATTCACCCAGAATAGAATTCCTTTATAAATCAAAACCCTCTAAGGAAATGTGCAATATTTTAAAAGTAAAATTGCTCTGTAATGTCTGTTTTACTAGACTTTTCCCAAAATGAAGAATAAGTCAGAAAGTGAGTTAGAAATGATAAGAAGCCTGCAAGATTTAGCATGAAAGTGGAGTTGACAAGATTGTTTTTGTATTTATCTGGTGCCAGTATGCTCTATCCTTTTCCTGTTTGTCTTTTGTCATGTTTCAGTTGAGTATTGCTTTAATCTCACTAAAAAAAACTGTATTGAAATTGGTGTGTACTGGCCATGAATATTCATAACTAGCTTTTTGTAGCATTCCTTTTTTTGTGACGAAGTTAAAAAAGGGGTACAATGGGGGACTGAGATAGTCTGAGGGTCAGTGAGTGTCATCGATGTGCTAGGGAGAGAATAATCAAGAATCAAAAGCTATGTGTAAATAAAAACAATCGAATAACTGAATATAGATGGCTTTTCTATTTTTTTATTTTAATGCTAGTAAGAAGGCAAGGCAATCATGTGAGAGATGCATGCAAAAACCTGGGTGTGGGTGAACAACTGAGGCAGCGTGACGTGGTTGAAAAGGCAATGGACTAGGACTTGAGAGAGTGGTTTCTAAAGCCATTCTTATCATTAGTGCACAGGGGAGCCCTTAGCAAGTCTTAGGCCTTCTCTGAACCTGTTTCCTCATTAGGAAAATGAGAAGAACCAACCAGGAGGTCGGGAAGGTTTCCTCCTGCTTCCACAAAGAAAAATAGAGGAGGTCTTCCAGTTTTGTACTGAATATGCTAGTCATGACCACTTGCCCATGGGGGCATTGTTTTCCGCACAGTATCAACTTGCATTATCTAACAGGAATGCTATAGTATTTCCCTCTGTCTATTTGAGACGGCAAACCAGGGTGGCAATGTGGCTTGCCAGTCAGTCAAGTTCAGATGCTTGACCTCATTGCCTCCCATACTTTCATTTGTTCATTCCATTCCAGACACACTGGCGTTCTTGCTGCTCTCAGCTGTCCAATGTCTACTCGCATCTTTGAGCCTCTGTTTTTGCTATTCCCTCTACTTGGAAAGCTCCCCACAAATAGCTATATGTCTTGTCCATTTTTTCAGCCTTCACTGACCACCCTATTTAAAATAGCAATTGCACCCTCCAAGTTTTACATGTGTTTAACCTACTTTATTTCCGTATTTATGATGTTTTTCTTGATGGTGCTGTGATCTGTTCCCACTGAGAATAAGGGCAAGCACTTTGCTTCCTTCTATATCCTGTGACTGCAACAGTACCTGACATGTCCCACTGATTTCCATCGAGTTGATGTTGACTCCTAGTGACCCTGTAGAGTAACACTGCCTTTGTGGGTGTCTGAGACCTGACACATAGTGGGTCAAAATCAATTTGTTGAATAAATGAGGGAATAAGCGGCTAAGACAGTTTTGCTGTTTTCTATATAATTCCCACAAACTACATACACCAGGTTTGAGTATTCATTTTTATGTGGTAGTTGTTGCAGTGGGAAATATTTTTTTGTGTGAAATATTTTTAAACAAATTATTTAAAATATGTAATATAAATTTGCATTTTGCTAGAAAGTTGTATTTTTTATTTCTTGCAAAGATAAGATAGTTTATGAAGGTCTGAAATTTTATATCAAATTAAATTTTAATTAAAGTAATTAAAATTTTTAAATTTAAAAGATTAAAAAAATATTATATCTGGATAGTGTTTTGTGTTTTCTTTTTAAATACAAAATGCTATTGGAAATCATATAAAACCACTACCATCAAGTTGACTCTGACTCATAGAAATTTAACACAGTGTGTCCAAGGCTGTAAATCTTTAGCTGGGAGAAGATATCCTCATCTTTCTCTCTCAATGTGGTTCATGGGTTTCAGCCCTGACCTTGTGATTAGCAAGTCAATGCTTTTCTGAAAATGCTATAAAAATAAATATACAAATAATTAATTAGAAGAAATTTCACCTAAAATATGCATCATTTAAAATCACTAGTAACATTTTAGCAAAATAAGAACACAAGGGATATGTTAAAAATTGAGTGCACAGAGACTGTCTCTATGTGTATATTAGAAACATAAAATCACATAATATTTCATACATAATTCACTATTTTTACTTAATTTTCAGGAAATCCAGCAATTGGGATTTTGAAATATAAGGAAAAGTATTATACTTTCAATACCAGAGATGCTGCATATTCATTTTCAGAAAATCCTGAACGATACATTGATTTGATTACAGAACAAGCAAAAAAAAATGCAGAGTTAATTCAGCTGCTGGAACTTCATCACCAGTTTGAAACCCTCATTCCATATTCACAGGTAAGCAATGCTGATATTCGAAAAATTCATGACATTTAAAATACGGTGAATTAAAAAGGTATGTTTTGTTGTAGAATGGTTAAGTCCAGAAAGAGACATCATCAAATGAAAGTCTTTATAGCTTATCTGAAAAGGATTCATCTGTCAAGATAGGAATTAATGAAATTCTCACAGAATCATGACTCATCAGCTCAAACTGATGGATTTGCAAATTAGAACAATAACAAAGAAAAAGCCCTTATTTAGTTAAGTAATTGAAACTATGAGTAACTGAAACCAGAGTCTATGGCTACAAAGACATCGTTGTTGTTAGGTACTGGCTGACAAGTTGGTTCTGACTCATCACGGCCCTGTCTACAAACAGAACACAGCACTGCCCAGTCCTGAGCCTCCTCACGGTTGTTACGTCTGAGCCCATTTTGCAGTAACTAAGTCAATCCATCTTGTCAAGGGTCTTCCTCTTTTTCACTGCCCTCTCTTTCACCAAGCAGAACCCCCTCATGGTGTAGTGGCTACATGTTGGAATGGATTCACAATCCAACATGTGTTGGCTGGTTAGCTGTTTGAAACCACCACCTGCTCCTCAGGAGAAAGATGAGACTTTCTACTCCCACCTAAAGTTTCAGAAACCCACAGAGGCAGTTCTACCTGTACTATAGGGTGGCCGTGAGTGGGAATCGACTTAGTGGCAGTGAGTAGTGTTTCCTGACATGTCCAATGTATATCACATAGAATCTTGTCATCCTCCCTTGTAAGGAGCATTCTGGCTGTCCTGCTAAACCAAGACAACCTTGTTTATTCTTCAATATTATTGGCCAGCACCGTAATTCAAATGCTTTGATTCTTCTTTGGTTTTCCTTATTTATTGTTCAGATTTCACAGGAAAATGAGGTGGTTGAAAATACCAGGGCTTGGGTCAGGCACACCCTGGTCCCCAAAGTGACCTCCTTGCTCTTTAACATTTTAAAGAGATCTTGTGCAGTAGATTTGCTCAATGTGATGTTGTTTGATTCTTGACTGCTCTATCCATGAGCATTGATTGACAACCTCAGTCTTTTCTCTATCATGGTGTTATCTATTGGTCCCATTATGATGATTTCAGTTTTCTTTACATTGAGTTGTAATCTTGACCCATGTATAGGTTCCACATGAGAGCAATTAAAAACAAACAAACAAACAGACCCACTGCTAGCAAGTCAATGCAGACTTATAGCAATCCTCTACGGGGTTCCAAGACTATAACTATTTACGGGAGTAGAAAGCCCAGTCTTTCTCCCTCAGAGCTGTTGGTGGTTTCAAACTGCCAACCATGTGGATCGCAGCCCAGCGCATAACCACTATACCACCAGAGCTGTTGAGAACAATAAAGTATTCTGAAATTCCAATCTTCTCAATCCAATAGTTTGTTATGATCCAAACTTTTGCACAATCACAAGTGAATTTGTTCATAGCCTCTATGTCAGAAAAGTTGTGATTTATATATCAGCTTCAAACTTGCTCTACCACCTTTGCTTAGCCTGGTTTCCTACTTATTAAATGATCATTAAATTATCTTGCAGATATAAAAATAAATGTGATTAAGGTTTCACTCTATCCATTAGTTAATGAAGGAAACAAACAAATGTTATGACCAGTTCAAAAGGTAATCCTAAGAACAGACACATATATACATCTTCTCCAGTAAAGATTTACAAGCCCTGCAAACCACACGTATAGTGGGTTATTGTGAGTCAGAATCAGCTTGATGGCAATGGGTTTGGTATGGGGGTTTTCACGTATTTGCAGTTTCCAGTGTTGTAAGAAAACAAAGACAATGAGAAACTAGAATCAGATAACTAGAAGTGACGTACTACATGTAGACAATATATCCTACTGTAACACATTTTCCCCTTACACACCTAATCTTATTTTTCCCTTTATTTGCCACGGTTTCTGAGTAGGGAGAATGAACATAGAATTAAACAGACACACGCATACACACACAGAGACAATACAGGACTGCAGCATAAAATAGACACAGACAGAGAAAACTGCAGTCCTGACAGACCACAGAGCTTTATTTTTATCTACTAAATACTGGCAGTGTTCCCAGATAAGTGCGCTATTCCCATGCTTGAGTTTCTCATAGCCTTGACAGAGTGGTATCTCAGCCCGTACCACTCTTGTTTACTGCTCCTAGGGAAACACTGTATGCAGCTGTTCCCCCAAATTCCTTACCGTTTGCAGTAAGGAAGCAGTTTATGAGAACCAGCTAGGACAGACGTTTGCGCACTGTCCTAGACAGATACATGACATTTGACATGGACCTCCTTGCATGGCTTCTTCATTTATTTCTGCTTATTTAATCTCCATCTGTATTTCCATGATATTCTATTTGAAATGAGTTTTCTTCCTCTAAAGTCTTTATTACCTTTTTTGCTTATTTGCCACTTATTTAAATAGTATTATTAATAAGCTCTTCAGCATACTTTTACTAAAGAAATCATAAAATCCTTCTAAAATAATTACTATGCATTGGATTGCCTCGATGGCATCAATTTATTTGATTGTAAGATCATTTTGAAGGCAGAAATTTTATCTTATGTTAAATGATAGCCTCAGTAATTTTCTGTTGCTTGATTTGGGAAATGAAGTTAATCTCTTCTTTTTCCACTTCACTATTACCCTCCTAGTACTTTATATTTCTACTGTCCCTTCTAGTAACTTAGGCATAAGTTGCATAATAATATCTTAGTTTAGCCTGGAATTATTGAAGACAGGATGAGCTTTTGGCTATCTCAGTTGAAAACCATATTCAACTAAAAAAATCTCCTATGTTCTAGTTCAATGTTACAACATGGCTTTAGTACTGTAAGAAAATATGATTTATAGCTAATATTTAATAGCTTTTAAATTTCCATCTATTTTCAATTCACTTACACTGTTAATTGGGGAAATCATGGAAGGACACTTGATTTGAAAATGAATGATGTTATATTATACCTTTGAAAATAAACATTTTACATTGATTTTACAAAATCAGTTGCAAAGCCATATTGATAAAAAATAAGTACCATAAATATTCAAGTATAAGCTGACCCAAATATCAGCTGAGGTACCTAATTTTACCACAAAAACTGCATAAAAAGGTGCTGAAAAACTTGGCTTAGATACAAGTATTTATGGTAAGTCTAGCTCACTGTTATAAGGATATTTTTTGCTGGTATTTGTAAATAGGCTCTGTGGTAAAAATTATTGTTTTTAAAATCTTTTGTCAGATTTACCTAATTAAGTTGTAAAGAATGATTTTTACAAAAAAAATGATTTTTTTACAAATACTAATAATATCCTATTTCTTTAGGTGAAGGATGTTGACAAATATTACATAAAACCAATTACAAAGTGTGAAAGTAGCACACAGACGGATACACACATATTGCCACCAACTATTGTGAGATCATATGAGTGGAATGAATGGGAGCTAAGAAGAAGAGCCATACAGCTGGTTTGTAACAATGTTCTAAAATTATTCTTAGTTTGGAGGATTCTAATGTAGGTTTGTAACAATGTTCTAAAATTATTTTTAGTTTGGAGGATTCTAATGTAGGTTTATAACAATGTTCTAAAATTATTTTTAGTTTGGAGGATTCTAATGTAGATGGGCAAATTAAATTGTAAATATGAATGATCAATTATAGAGATAAAATAATGAGTTCTAAACAGAGTTCTTCGCTAACATAAAATCAAATATCAAATTGTGAGCTTGTGTGGTAGGAATATCCTCTGACTCTTAGAGCAAATTCCAGAAGTATGGGTTATTGCTTGTTGTGTGCCCTCAAGTTGCTTTTGACTTATCACCACCCCGTACAACCGACTAGACCTGGCCCATAGAGTTTCCCATGCTGTGAGTCTTAAGGGAAGGGGTTTCCAGGTCTTTCCCCACAAAGTTACTGTTGACTTCAAACCAGTGACCTTTCAGTTAGCAGCTGAGTGCTTAGCCATTGTGCCACAAGGGATTCTCAGCAAGAATCTCATATGTGTGTATATATGTATGTATATATATATACATATAAGTGTGTGTGTGTGTGTGTGTGTGTGTGTATATATATATATATATATATATATATATATATATACTTATAAGTATATACTTACATGCCTAAACTTATTTTTTCCTTTATTTCTTATTTAATCTCCATCTGTATTTCCATGATATTCAAAAGCATTTGAAGTGAGTTTTCATACTTACCTGGCAGGGGAGATACCATGATCACAAAGGTGGTTTTCCCAGGGCGAGGCTTATCCATTGCAGTCTAGATGTGCTGACCCCTGCGATTTCCCCAAATGGGGGAAACTCGACTGCATAATTTGTGGTAGTGGGGGACTGCATTCATGCTCTCCCCTAAAAAAAAAAAAAAGAAAGAAAGAAATGAGTTTTCTTCCTCTAAAGTCTTTATTACCTTTTTGCTTATTTGCCACTTATTTATATAGTATTACTTATAAGCTCTTCAGCATGTTTTTATTAACTAAATCATAAAATCCTTCTAAAAGAATTACTATGAGTTGGAATTGCCTTGATGGCAGTCAATTTATTTGATTGTAAGATCAAATATGCTTATATGAAAAGGCTTCAAAGACATTATGGAAAAAAGGAATCGGAAGATAATAAAGTTTTTCCATGAACTTTTAAACACTTCCTCCTATATTCAAACTAGTTTTAAATCACTCCCAGCATCCTATAATCATTTACAGTTTACCCTGCTCTCTTTGGACCTTTTCTATGGAACAGACTGTTAGCTCTGTTATGTCACAAATACCATCTCCCTTCACATCAACATACTTTCTCCAGACACTGGGTTCCCCTCCTTCTTCTGATTCTTAGTGACCTGACTCACAGGAAGGGTAGAACTGCTCCTGTAAGTTTCAGAGACTGTAACTGTTCCCAGGAGTAGAAAACCTCATCTCTCTCCTGAGAATGGCTCGTTATTTCGAGCTGCTGACCAATGCATAAACTGAAACTCAATGCATAATCACTATACCACCCAGGGCTCCTAATCACAATAGTTACCTTCCCGTGAAGCCCTCTCTTCAAAACCCTCACCCCTACCCAAATCAGTGGAATTCCTCCAACTCAACCTTTTAGTGAATGTTAAAATTTTCAACAAGATATGTTTATAGTATGAATGAAAAAAAGTCTCCACGTCTGCTACTTTTTTTTGGACTATTTATCTTTACCTTTAATTGAAATCAGGTGAGAAATAAGTGAATATCACTCAATGAGAACAGAGTTTTTTCTACATACTTGGCAGAGACTCAAAGGCAGGCAGGATAGTGGAAAACTTTATAGTGAAAACATATTTTGTTAAGGCTTCAATTGTGTACTGCTTGGAGGTTGGTGCATGGGAAAACTAGAGGAGAGTAGGTGAGAAGTGGGCATCTTTGGGAATGGGTTTGGGGCACAAAGCTGGCTTTCTTTGGTTGGTCCTGAGTTGGAGATAGGGGAGGGTCTATTTGCATTTGCAGTCTCTCATAGGCTTTCCTTTAATCACAACATTCCCCTTGCCATCCTTCCTGGTGGTAGCCCACCAGTCTTCTGATTTTCTGAGATGAGGAAGGATTACATTCTGATACATCTTCCAGAATATTGGTCCATAACTATTTCCACCAGCCACTTCTTCTGCTGTTCATGAACCTCTTGCCCCATATTGCTATTATGTACTAAAGTTACTTGGGTTCATCAGATGTTTATTGGGACACAGATAAATAGATAGCTAGTAGATAGATGCATTCTGTTACTTTGTTCTTCAAGAGCTATTAGTCTAACAAGTGCTACTGATCTACTAAAACCTTTACTTACCTCATTCATACTATAAACAGAAATGAAATACAAAATTTTACTAAATTGACTTGGGTGACATATTAAGTTGGACTTGAGATGCAAATAGACAAAGAAGAGGGAGTGATGGATGGAAGGAATGAGAAAGAGGCAGTAGCATAGATGTGGAATGGAGGTCTGAAAAGAATGAGGTTATATTCATTGGGTCTGAATTTCATACTGAGTGCAGCCCTCTCTTCCCATTTCATAATTTCCACCACATTTTGACTCCCATCTTATAAGCCTAATTATCCTTTAGAATTTTATTATGCTCGCTCCCCACATACTGCCACCACACCCTATTCATTATTAAGGGGAAGCAGCACCTGCAAAGATCTTTGGCAGGGCCTCAGAGGAGAAAGCTTGAGTAGAACTCATTGAGAATTTGTAGCATAGTCTTTCAGTGCTGGGAGTGGGGATGAAGTGGTGACTTAGATAAAATTGTGTACGGATCAGGAAAAAACAACCCAGAGTAGCAAAGTGAAGATGTTGAGGCAAGGAATTCCAAGAAATTGAGTTGTAAATGGTATGGAGATGCTTACAACTGAAGAGTTGATAGGTCATTCCGACATTTATTTGGTAAATCTACATATTTGCCTGGGTTAGAGTGTCCTAGAATAGCTAAATTAAACTATAGAAGACAGAAGAATAGCAATGTAGACAATAGTATATGGAGGGGAAATAGTTTCAGTTTCAATACCTGCAGTCTCAAACTGTGAAATGCTTTCCCTGACTCCAAATCTCACCTTTGCCCACATACTTTAACTCCTTCTGAGATTTTTCTTGGCTTTCTTCATATCCTCAGCAACTCCTTGTTCTCTTTTAAAAAATCCATCACGATACTCAGCCTGGCGATCTGTCTCAGTGTTATGAGACAGATCTCAATCAATCTCATATGTTTACTAGTGATCCACAAATGAGTAAATACATATAGACGGTCAAAATATAATCTGAAAAGATCAGAGCTTTTTAATTAAAAAAAAATCTGGGACAAAATCCATCTCTTAAAAAACAGCCCTCCCCCCAAAAAAAACTCCTACCAATCTGAATTAAAAAAAAATAATTCAGTAAGATGAAAAGGCGGGTTGTATGAATCTGAAAGTATAAGGAAGGAAATAGAAGACCATGTTAGCAAATAGTTGAGTTAATTGTAACTGCAAACTGGTATGCAATGTTTTCGATCTCTTTTCCTACTTGCCAATAAGGATATTTTTGTCTAGATTTGTATGTACATGTCTAGAAGTTCTAGTGTTCTTCTTTTTCCTATGTGTTATATGCTATGTTACAGGACTAATTTACTAATGAATTAATTAGGCAGATATTAACCTGATGATATTTTATATTATCTGTGCATTTAGGAAATGCTGATTCCTGTTTTTTTTCTTTCTATGTAGGCCAATTTGCGCCAGAAGGTTACTCATTCCATGCAAACTGACCTGAGTCACATGAGAAGAGATAATTGTTCACAAGTGTACCCTTCAAAGGATGCTAGCACCCAGTCCAAGCAAGAAAGCAGTACCTGCGTGCCTAGGCCCCAGATTTTTATAGCTGGTATCCGAGGGGGACAGAGCAAAACCACTCATGGGGTCAAGGTGAACTTAACTAGAGCAATTGATGAAACCTAGTTAGAGATAGCATTTTAAAAGAAGATATTACCCAATTATGAATAATGGCACATATTTAATTTCATGGGCCTGCATATTTCATTGGTTGTATGGATGTTTATTGGGTTCTCATTTATAGTCACTGTCAAACTACTACAGGAAATTAGACAATTGTTTTACTGTAATATGTTTATCAATCTATTAAAATTGAAAGATAAAACTGTTCATTCCTCTTCATTTGTTAGGATAACATTGCCACCATTAAGACTGACATTATGATTCTGTTTAGATAGTTAATATATTTTAAGATTATTACTAGAGCAGAAGAAATTACTTCTAAAATTATATTCATGTTAAAAATGAACATTTTCCAGCTTGGGGAATATTTTCCTTTTTTTTGCTATCAAATGTTAACATGCATCCAATTAAAGTCAATTAAAATTCAGATCACTCAATAATGAAAAGATAATAGAATACTTTCACATAGAATGAAAAGAGTGGAATTTCTGCACAAACTTTTTGAACCCCTTTGTAATATCGTCCTACTAGTTTGGGACAATTAGAGCAAACTTCCAAATGATGTTTTAAAAAATCTAAGATTTTTACATAGAAATCGAGATGTCTAAAGCCTTGGGGGGAAAGGTCAGGCTATTTGGCAAGCCTTGGTTATCATCCTGATGTGGTAACTGTGCCCTTTGATAGAGCTAGTGTGGTGCTTCCAGTTCTCCCAGCTAAGCCTTGTTTGGTAAGTAAGACGGAATCAGCGTGAAGGGAACTGAAGGGAGCTAGACCAGATAGTAAGTTCTTCTGGGACCTCCACCGTGCCTCAAACTTCGTCCATCTCGACAGAGTCCTAACCACACTGGATGCAGTGCCTGTAATCCCCATTTCAGTAGACCCAACCTAGTTTCCCTGCCAAATGTGTGGTCCCTTTTGCATCTCCTTTGATTACCCATGCTTAACTCTCCTACTCCCCACAGAATTTTACGATTTCACTGTAATTTTTATTTTTGGAATTAGAAAATGTCACTGGTCTCTTGGCTTTCTTTATAGGATTACACCATAGTAAAAGACTGCGCTAAAATAGCACTACAACATGAATTAGGCTTGAAGACATTATGTTGACTGAGAAAAGTCAATCACAAAAGGACACATATTGCACGACCCCACTTATATAAAAAGACATGAATAGGAAAATGTATATAGATCGAAGTTTATTAGTGATTACAAGAGAGGGAGGGTGTATTTGCTTACAGATCACTGCGTTTTGGCTTACAGTGATGGAAAAATAACATTAAGGGTGGGGTTATGCAGCAGATTTGCAATATGTCATTTGAGTTCTTGACTGCTGCTTCCATGAGCACTGATTGTGGATATAAGCAAAATGAAATACTTGACAGCTTCTGTCTTTCCTCCATTTATCATGACATTGTCCATTGGTCCAGTTACAGGCAAATCTGCTGCACAAGGACCTCTTTCACATGTTGATGAGACAGGATGTCACTTTGAGGGCTAAGGTGCACCTGACCCAGGCAATGGTATTTTTAATAACCTCATATACAGTTGAAAGTTGGATAATGACTAGGGAAAACTGAAGTGGAATCTATGCATTTGCGTTATGGGGCTGGTGAAGAAGTTTGCAGTACTGTGGACTGCCAGATGAACAAACATTTGTTTAGGAGTTCAGCCAGAATGCATCTTGAAAGGTGGTGAGACTCCGTGTCTCATGTACCTTGGACAAGTTATCAGGAGAGACCTTTCCCTGGAAAAGGACAGCACACTTGGTGGAGTGAGCCAAACAGAGGAAGACCCTTGATGAAATGGATTGCCTAAGTGGCTGCAGCAATGGGCTCAAACACAACCATTGTGATGATTGCGAAGGACCGGGCATTGTTTCATTCTGTGCTATGTAAGGTTTGGTATGCGTTAGAATTGACTTGACATCTACCAACAAGAAGGGTTGTATAGTCAATTAACATAATTTCTGGTGATAGAATGTGCACCTGTAAAAAGTTGAATTGTTAAAGCAAAATTAAAAAATTAATGATGAATGACCTAGACAATTGAATGAGGAGTAATTTACTTAATGGTGACACAAACAATTACATTTAGATATCTGCATTACATGATCTTTGTGGTTAAGAGTTTACTGTACTTCAGATATGAACTGAAAACACAGGGAATTCAGAACCTACAAACCCCTCAGGACTCATATTGAGAGTAGCAATACCAGAAAGGGAAGTGGGGGAGAAAGGGGAACCCAATCACAATGATCTACATATAACCCCCTCACAGGGGGACGGACGGCAGAAAAAGTGGGTGGAGACATCGGTCAGTGTAAGACATAAAATAATAATTTATAAATTATCAAGGATTCATGAGGGAGGAGGGGTGGGGGAGGGAGGGAAAAATGGTAAGTTGATACCAAGGGCTCAAGTAGAAGGAAAATGTTTTGAAATTGATGATGGCAACAAATGTACAAATGCGCTTTACACAATTGATGTGTGTATGGATTGTGATAAGAGTTGTATGAGCCCCTAATAAAATGATTTTTTAAAAAAAAAGTTTACTGTACTTTAAGCCTGGACCACATTTAATAATCTACTATATGATTCCCAGGTTTGCATTTAAATATAATCTCCCTAAGCCTTCTGGTATTTGTTCTTGCCCAGTCTTTTATTTAATTAAATTCACACTTTAACTTCCTTACCAATAAATATCATTCTAGGCTTTCTTTTATACAGCCTACTGAAAGTAGAGTGGATTGCATGATGGAACAGGGAGAAGTGAGCAGGGTGGAGGCAAGTCTTGCAGCTTGACTGACATATTGGGAATGTCAGTAGGATCTCAGCCGAAATCATCTTTGAAGTACTGGAAGTTCACATTATCAGATGAATGACATTGCGGCTTATATAATAGAGATTACTCCTCCTTGCTCTAAACAATTGTGTAGAAATCTAGGCATATATAAAACACATTAAATCATTGTAATTTAGAGCAAGGAAACAAAACCCTCGCTGGATTAAGAGTATAAATACCTGCTCCCTTGGTTCTCAGGCTGGAATAACAATCACAGATAAAACCAGTACGAGTTAACAGGAAATAATATTTCTCCCGAGGACACGTTGCAGCTATAAAGTGTAGGAACAGCGCCGTTCATTGAGGGGCTACTTTCTAACTAAAATCATAGATAATCAGCAACTTTGCTGTTTGAAATCAAGAGTGGAACATGACCCTACTGCTTGGAGACACTGTGACACAGGGAAGCAGCCTCCATTTCCAACCTACGTGACAAACTATTTATCGTGTAGGGTGTGGAGTGTGTGGACACATTCCACTTCTGTCATAACTTTATAATTTCCAGGAAGCAGAAGCGTGAGACAACTTTGCAGTCCAGATCGGATACTGATCTCTTTACACATGGACCTAATTTGAATCTTATCAAAATATTACTAATTTTAAATTTCATCTTAGCTCAAAGACTTTCCCTCCCCCCAATTTAACTCTATCTTTTCCTTTATTTCCTGAGACGCCCGTTTCTTTCTCTAGTGTGCAGTTTTAGTCATTGCAACTGGACGTTTATTCCTGGTGGTCTTGGGATGACTGGGCCAGGAAAAGAGGCATCCCAATTTTGCCAACATTTGTGCCAATGGAGTCATTGCTTACAATGAAATTATTTAGAAAAGTAGGGTTCATCGGCATGTCAATCAGAAATGTCACTGAAACCTTTTTTAAAATCATTTTATTGAGAGATCTTACAATGCTTCTTACAATGCAGACATCAATTGTATCAGGCATTTTGTACATATGTTGTCGTCATTCTTTTCTAGACAGTAACTTTCTACTGAGCCCTCAGTATCAGCTCTTTTCACCCCCTCTCTTGCCCCCCACCCTCAAGACCCCTTGATAGATTATAAATTATCGTTATTTTCATGTCTCAGACCGACCACTGTCTCCCGTCCCCCATGGTTTCTGTTGTACTTTCCCCTGGAGGGTGTGTGTGGTTGTGTGTCCATCACTGTGATCGGTTCCCCCTTCTTCCCCTCCTCTCCTCCCTTTACCCTTCCCATCTGGTATCACTCTTCCCATTCCTGCTCCTGGGTTGCTTGTGTTGTGAACTCTTATCTCGCATGCTCCAGTTGAATCTGAAGTGAGAGGCATCCCTGGGGTCAAGGTGGTGGGGTGAGGAAGCCTCAAGGGCACTAAAACCTCTTAAAAGCATTTTGCATACCACTTAATGGTGGGACGTTTTCAGTTATGTGTCTAACAGTATTCATCACCAGAACAAACTACGGTTCCTTGAAGCACAGTTGATTCTATAACCTAGGGCAGAGGAAAATCAACTGGCCACCAATTTATTGTTGTTGAGAGATAAATAAAATATAAAGAAAATGACTGGTACAGACTTAAACACGGGAGAAGACTACACGGGCTATCTTAGGACTGTCTGAGTATTAAAAAGAGAATCATCATGAATGGAAATAAGCCGAATCTGTGATCACAGTATGCTGTCGAATGGGAACAGGTAAGCATCATTTTCCTATTACAGTAGATGGATAAGAACGTGTGCAGTAGGTTGGGGAGATGGACCAGTACGCCCACCCACACAGAGGCAGGCCTGGAGGAGGAAGAGAAAGAGAGCCGGACTGGACCCCAGGCTGGCACACCAGGCTCAGAGGATGATGTCCCTGCGGGGAGCTCATGGGACCCAGAGGGGACTGGGCAAACGACAACAGCACGTGTCACGCTGTCCCCTTACTGGAGCAGACTGCAACAGAGGGTCACATGGGGGGGGGGGTTAGCAGCGCAGTCTGAACCCCCCAAACTGGATCAAATCAAGAAGGAAGCATACCTGGATAAACAATCCTGAGGAGAAAACAACAGGACTGATGGTTTGGGGGGTGGGGGGTGGGGCATTGTGGAGGGGGAGGTAGGGGAAAGGAAGTGGTGTTAACAAACTTAGGGGCAAGGGAATAATAAGTGATCCAAAATCGGTAGGTGAGGAGCATGTAGGAGGCCTGGTAGGGCTTGATCAAGGGTAATGTAACTGAGAGGGAATACTGAAACCCAAATGAAGGCTGAGCATGATGGTGGGACAAGAGGAAAGAACTAGGAGGTAATGGGCATTTACCGAGGTATAAAAACAGGTACGTATGTAAATATACTTATTTATGACCATGAGGAAATAGACTTATGTGCATATATTTATAGGTTTAGTGTTAAGGTGTGGACATTGGGGATCCAGTTGGGGCAAAGACTTCCTGGCAGCTAAGGGCCTTTCTTTTCCTCTAGTTTTCTCGCTGGGGCTGTGGTCCAGGGGATGCTTATTCATTGGAGGACATGTGGACCCTAAGGTGCACCACTCTGTTGCACAGCCAAATTCATCATCATACCAGGAAATGAACTTGACAAAGTGGCCGTTGAGGGAAATGCCAGCCCCAACATCAAAGATGCAGAGTGAGTGTCACTGCTGAAGTCATAGGAAACAATCTGATCTACATTGTAACCCAGGATGCCCTTTTGGGACAATCCAACACCTGCTTCACTACCTTGATGGCATTGTACTTGGCAGTTTTTTCTGAATGGCAGGTGAATTCCAGGACTAACACACTGGGGGCGGAGACATGGAAGGCCATGGCTGTTTCCCATTCAGCTCGGGGATAATCCTGCTTTGGCAGCACCAGTAGGTTTGTGGATGATGTCCTGGGCAGCCCCATAACCATTGTGCCAGTATTTTCCAGAGGGACAGGCCATTCACAGTCTGCTGCATGGCAGTGATGGTGTGGACTGTGGTCATGAGTCCATCCATGAGATGCTAAAGTTGTCATGGATGACCTTGGCCAGAGAGCCAAGCAGTTAGTGGTGCAGGAGACATGGCTGACAATCGTTAGGGAGTTGTCATACTTCTTGTGGTTCATGCCCATCACAAACATGGGGCATCTGCAGAAAGGGCAGGGATGAGCACCCTTTGGGGACTATCTTTCAGCCGAGCCCCAGCCTTCTTTACGGTTGTAGACACTAGTGGATTCTATGATACATTGGGCACCAGCCACACCCCACTTGATGTTGGTGGGATCTTGCTCCTGGAAGATGGAGATGGACTTCCCATTCATGGTAAGCTTCCCATTCCCAGCCTTAATGGTGCCATTGACCCTGCCATAGGTGGAATCATACTAGACCATGTAGACCACGTCGTTCAGGTCAATGAAAGGGTCATTGATAACAATGACTTCCACTTTGCTAGAGCTGAAAGTAGCCCTGGTGACCAGGTGCCCAATGTGGTCAAATCTGTTTACTCTCACCTTCGCCAGGGATGCAGTTGGCAGCAGATGTGGCTGCCTGTCACAGGAGTAGAGAGCTCTCAAAATTGTTCTTATGTTTGAGCTTATTCTTGCAGTCACTGTGTCATTCTATCTTGTCTATGGCTTTCCTCTTTTTCTCTGTCCCTCCACTTTAGCAAGCACGATGTCCTCCAGGGACTGGTCTCACCTGACAACAAGTCCAAAGTTATAGAGATGGAAACAACACCTTCAGAAGTGTATGAACCTAGATATGTTTGATATATACACAACAGGTTCACATTTTGGTATTTTTGTATCATAAAAATTTCTATAACTTTCTAGCAATACTTTTCACCTACACTTGTACATCTAATGACATTAGTATAGATCATTAACAACATAACCCTCTAAAGATGTTTAAGGAAAGGTCATAATACACAAGTATGCATCTCAGAAGCTTGGGTCCCTGTTCTGGTATGGAGAGGGACCTTACTTGAACATCCACATAGCTTGACCACTCCCTTTCCTAACGAATTATTGCTAACTTCTTAGGATGGTGGGTACCGTAGTGTTAATGTTAGATGTTCTTTTGTGGTGAAAAGATCATGCAATTAGAAAGTCAGTCTAGCTAAATATAATCAACAACAATCTGACCAAGGACACAGCACAGGATTTCTGAACAAATCACTCACACATTCGCTGCCAACTAATCATTTCTGATGCATAGTGACCACATATATAATGCAAATTTTACTTAGCTTGAATAAAGGTCACCTATGGAAGGTCATGTGTAAGAGGGAAGTTATAAAAGGGTTGCTGAAAGTAATTTCGTTTCTTACGTGTTCTGTGCGCTTTTCCAACATATGTGATAGGAACGAATCACTAAGTCTAACCCACAAATCCTTCTTTGCTGCCCGTTGCTTGGTGGCGGGGACTACAATTCCAAGAAAGAGCCGCTCTGGTCTCTTGAATCCGCTCCCGGAGCCTGCAGGGAGTTGTAGTTGAGACCTAACATCATCATTGAACTACGTTTTACCTGAGTCCGAGCCAGGACGCGAACTTGCGGGCCTGTCTTCCATCCACAGTCTGGAGCAGGGGTCTTCAAACTTTTTAAACAGGGGGCCAGTTCACTGTCCCTCAGACCCGTTGGAGGGCCGGACTATAGTTTTTTTAAAAAAAAAACTATGACCAACTTCCTATGCACACTGCACATATCTTATTTGGAAGTAAAAATTCAAACGTGGCAAAAACACCCGGCGGGCCGGATAAATGTCCTCGGCGGGCCGCATGTGGCCCGCGGGCCGTTGTTTGAGGACGCCTGTAAGGTTCCTGCTTGCTTTCCGTGCAGCGCTGGAGGCGGTCGGCCGGCGATACGCTCTAGGCTGCGCGGTTCACGTCTCTATGGCCGTAGGGGGCGGTCCCCGCGTCTGGCGCAGGGCGCGCGTCTGGCGGGCGCGCGCGCGCGTCAGTTCCGCGTGGGGCTGTCGGGCAACCAGGGCTGTCGGGCAACCATGGCTGCCCCGAGAGGTGAGGCTGCGGGCGCCGGGAGAGGAGAGCGGGTGCACACACCGCCGGGAGCCCGCGGGGGAGGGCGGCGTGGGCGGACGGGCCTCAGCTCTGGCGGGCATCTCTCGGGCGCCGGCGCACCCGTCGCGCCGCCGGAGCGCTGGGCAAGGCTGAGGCGTCAGACTCCTAAGTTTCTCTGGAGATGCTCCCAGGCTCGAGTCCGCTCGGCGGGGTGCTGGGGCGGCGCGGGCCGCCGGCTTCCTCCGGCGCCTGGCCTCCTCGTGACCGACCCCGCGCGGGCTGGAGCGGCCGCCCGAGAACGCCTGCTCCCAGGAGCTGGTTGGGGGTGGGAGCCGAGTTCCGACAGGCCCCGGCTGGAGCGGAGCGGGAGGGGACAGCGGGCGCAGGTCCCGGGCTGCAGCCGCTTCACCCAGCGAGAGGCAGGACCCGGCCGGGCTCACTGAGACTGCGGTCTCTGCGCCTCCTGCCCCGGGGATGCTTGGAGCCTTACCGGTGCTGCGGGTGCAGAGCAGCGGCTCCTCTCTGTAACAGCTACTGAAAACCCCCCCGGGGCTTTAAAACCGCACTCGTACCCTAAGGAGATGGAGAACGCTGTCGTTAACAAAATTCCTCCCAAGGGGAATGCTTGTGGTTTGAAGGAGCATTGGTATTTTGGGTGGGAGTGATATCCATCATCCTTCCCCAAGGAGAGGCACGTTTGGGCAATAGCTAGTGACTAATTGCCGTTTCAGGCGGAGGAGTGTGATGAACCTGGCAGCGCTTTTTTGCTGACTAGGGTGTTTAAGTTGGGACCAGAGCTTAATGTTGGGGGGTGATAGAGCTGTAGCTACCAGGAGTTACACAGACACCGATTCTTCCTCCATCCTTCCTCCATGGAACAAACACTTGATTTCATGTCTTAATTGCTGAACAAACATTTGAAGAATATCCTATTGCATGGTTGCCAAATTATTTTCCTGGTTGGGGAGGCCTCGTTCATCTTTCAGCCCAGCCCATGTATGTGCTTGCATATGTTGCTTTAAGCATGCTCCCATTTCAAATCAATCAGCCGTAAGAATCTACCCTCTCCCCCCTATGCACCAATACAGGAAGTAAAGGAGAAAAAAAAGACATTTAGATAACTACCATAAGATAGAGACAGCAAGATAATGAGAAGTAAAAACTTGAAAATTCAGATTGTAATAGTTGCAGCAATTTACACAACTAGACCGATTTCTAATCAGTATTTGTCGTGCCTTGGTTATGTTTCAAGTCATAGGTCCAATCCAAACCAAACCAAACTCACTGCCATCGAGTCGGTGCTGACCCATAGTGACCCCGTGTGGGTTTCCGAGACTAACTGGTAACAGAAGTAGATAGATACCTATCGGTTCTGTGGAGCTGCTGGTGGTTTCGAACTGTCAACCAAGTAGATTGCATAAGCACTGCACCGCCAGGGCTCCTCTATACGTCCAATAGTAATGAATAATAGAAAACTGCAGTTGCAATGGGTTGATATTGAAAAAGGATATCTAGGACCCTGAATTTCTAAATTATCAAGTCTAAAAATGTCTCCCATAAAATGAAGTAAAATCCTTCTGAAAATATAGCTTCACACCTCACATGCACCTGCTCATTACAGAGCTAAGACAAACCAGCTGCCATCCCCTCATTTTCCGACTCCTGTGGATCCTGTACTGAGATTGCAAATCGTTGGCCACAGTCAGCCTCGTGTTTCTCCCACAGAGCGGCTGGTAGGTGTGAACTTCCACCTTAGTGGTTAGACCCTTCCTTATTAACTCACAGTTTCACCAAGGCAAGAGTGATTAAGCTCTTACATTTGCGGGGGAGGCACACTTATTGAAAGATGTAAATTACAGAGCATACTTATCAATTCACAGAAACTGTTACATGCTTTAGTTTATCCAGTCTTTTCGTTTTTCCTTTCCAGTTTAGAACTATTGATTTTTTTGATCATTTCATTTCTCTCACTACCATGTACAGTTGACACTCTTTGGGAGACCACTTTCCACACTGAAACAAACATGTGGGAACTAATGGGGACTTTATGAGAAGTGGAAAGCAATGAATGCTGAGATATTTCTACCAGTGAGGTTATGGTCTAAGCCCGTAGTCACTGGGCACAATTTAAATTTTCAGTAAAATTTAATACTAACCCTGAGAAATTAAAATAGCTAATTAGCAAAGTCTTTTTTAAAAAAAATCATTTTATTGGGGACTCATGCAACTCTTATCACAGTCCATATATACTTAGCAATGTCTTATACTGAATAATTTGTGAATGCAGTAAAAAGATAGTTTCATCTCAGGTTAAGCTGAAGTAATAGAAAAGTATGCTTAAAATGTTATCTTAAAAATTCCTTTAGTTGAACAAAAAGTCATATTATTGTGAATGATGGGGAGTGCAGATTGGGGACCCAAAACTCATCTGTAGGCAACTGGACATCCCCTTACAGAAGGGTAGGGAGGAGATGAGCCAGTCAGGGTGCAGTGTAGCAACGATGAAACATACAACTTTCCTTTAGTTCTTAAAGGCCACCCCCCACACACACTATCATTATCCCAATTCTACCTTACAAATCTGGCTAGACCAGAGGATGTACACGGGTACAGATAGCAACTGGAAACACAAGGCATTCAGGACAGAAGATCCCTTCAGGACCAGTGGTGAGAGCCAGTGGTGAGAGTGGTGATACTGGGAGGGTGGAGGGAAGGTGGGGTAGAAAGGGGGAACCGATTACAATAATCTACATATAACCTCCTCCCTGGGGGACGAACAACAGAAAAGTGGGTGAAGGGAGACATCAGACAGTGTAAGATAGGACAAAATAATAATTTCTAAATTATTAAGGGTTTATGAGTGACGGGAGAGGGGGGAGGGAGGGGAAAAATGAGCTGATACTAAGGGCTCAAGTAGAAAATGTTTTGAGAATGATGAGGGCAACGAATGTACAAATGTCCTTGACACAATGGATGTATGTGTGGATTGTGATAAGAGTTGTACAAGCCTCCAATAAAATGATTTAAAGAATTCCTTCAGTATACTGTAGAAATGATAGTCCATGTTGAAGCCCTATGTTTTGCAAATATCTAACATATATAACTATTCCTCTGAGACCAGTTGCTACTTTCAAGAAAGAAATGCATATTCTCATATAATCACTAGGCAGATATTTTCAGCGAGGGCAAAAGGATATGACAGGTCAGATTATGCTTGTTGGCTTTAAATATTTTGTTTCATTTGAGTATTCACTTTGTTGTATTTGTAATCAGGAATCTATATAATAGCTAAAACAAGGTAGAATTTAGTTTGGCAGCCCTAAACTTTCTTATTTATGAAAATGATGATGATGGAGGTTAGCAAACTTTTTCAGTCAAATTTAGACTGGATTTCTGTTAGTTATTCGATTCTTTTGTAAGGTAAACTCCATGTGCAATATGGAAATGAATGAACTAACCTATGTTTCAATAAGACTTTACTTGTGAACATTGAAATTTAAATTGTATATTATCATAACTTGTCACATTTTGATGTCAACCACTTAAAATAAAAAACCATTCTGAGCTTTCAGGCCATCGAGAAAGCTGTAGAAAGCAGTGGAGGAGCACTGTGGTTTGTTCCCTGCTGATCTAGAAGATGGCAAATACTTTCCCTCCCTGAGTAATTAAAGGCTATTGCTGTTTATTTTTGAAGACATACATTTATCCCTAGTGTCGGAGAGTTTAGAACAAAGGAAGTATTATGATCTCCTTTACTTCCTTCCTACTTGCTCACCACCGCCCTCAGCACAAACAGATTTTTTGGAAAGAAAGGGTAGGCAGATATAAGCTTTGTTTTTTCTGAGCTATCATGTAATTCTTTTAGTTAAGACCTGATGGAATTTCACAAATCTGCATGTGATTTAAATATTATTTTAACTTACTACTTTAGTTCCCCCTGTGGAAAATGTTTTTATAGAAGTTTCTACTTGGCATATATAAAGATCATTTATTTGGAATTTTATTCTATTACCCTATGTTTTAAAATTGTGGTTAGATCTAGCAGGGAAGCAACAAAACCCACCTGGAAGAAGCACACTAACTCCTGTGATCACGAGGTGTAGATGGGATCAGGTATCAGGCATCAGAAGACTCAAAACAAATACCCATTTTGATGTGATTAAGGGGGTTCAGAATGGAGACCTAAAGCCCATCTGTAGACAATTAGATACCCACTCACAGAAAGGTCATACGGAAGGGATGAGGCAGCTAGGGTGCACTATAGCACCAGTGAAACACAAACATTCCTCTAGTTCTTTAATGCTTCCCCTGCCCCCCCATCATGACCCCAGATCTGGCTAGACTGGAGCATGAACACTGGCACAGATAAGAGCTCTCGGCACAGAGAATCCAGGACAGATAAACCCCTCAGGACCAACAATGAGGGTAGGGGGAAGGTTGGGGGAAAAGGGGGAGAAAGGGGTAACCGATTGCAATGATCCATGTACAACGCAGCCCCCCTCCCCCCAGGGCGATGAACAACAGATACATGGTGTAAATTACGAAAACAAGTTATAAATTATCAAGGGTTCACAAAAGTGGAAGAGTTGGTTAGGGAGGGGAATAGAACAGCTGATACCAAGGGCTCAAGTAGAAAGTGTTTTGGAAATAATGATGTTAACATTTAGTCAAATGTGCTTGATGCAATTAATGTATGGATTGTTATAAGAGTGGTTAGAGCCTCAAATAAGATCATTTATTAAAATAAATTTTAACAATGAAAAAATAAAAATATAATTGTGGTTAGGCTCCCAAAACAAAGAACAAAAGAACAGAAGTGTAGTTTTCACGTATGTACCCTGTTTTCCCGAAAGTAAGACATCCCCCGAAAATAAGACCTACTTACAGTTTTGCCTCTCGCTGAAATATAAGACCTCCCTGAAAATAAGGTCTCCTCAAAGCTACCGTAACTCTGAACTCTGGACTGTAGCGGCACAGCTCATTGTTGGCCACAGCGCAGCCGGAGCAGACAGGAAGTGCAAGGTCTCTTAATAAAACAATAAACAAATGTGTACCGTATTCTTCTTCATGGAAAAATAAGACGTAGCGCATCTTTGGGAGCAAAAATTAATAATAAGACACTGTCTTATTTTGGGGGAAACAGGGTAGTACAGTAGCAGCACAGAGTTATCCAGTGCCCCTATGGACTGTTAACAGAGGTTGTCAAAGTATGGCCTGTCAGCCGTATCTGGCTCATTCCTTCCTGTTTTTGCATCACCTGAGCACTAAGAATGGCCTTTACAGATGATCATTTGCAATTGATTTGATGGTAAAATTCGAACTTTGAACTCCTCAATTAAGTGAAATGTTAACACTCCCCTCCCCGAAACAAAAGTTCCATTCTTCATTTTTGTTCACGTGGTGTTGGGTCCTGGCTCATCGTGACCTTGTGCATAACAATGAGAGGTTGTGGGATCCTGTGCCATCTCCCTGATCATTGGATTGATCTCATTAGTAAACCTATTTTACAAAGTATTGTACTCAGCGATTGCTACATTTTGCATTCTATTGAAGAATCTCTGAGACTTTTGTTTTCTCTCTTGCTCCATGAGGACCTATACAATATCCTTTATTTTACCTTCTTGCCTGGGAAGCCTAAGAATATTTACTAAAGAAAAAGTATGCTGATCTCTTTAATTAACCAGAAGATTTGGAGAGATTAAGGAGAGCTGGGGGATAAGAGGTGGGAGGTGGGTGAAGAAAGTAGAATCAGTTTGAATTTGGGATGATAGCAGTCTTAGAGAAGGGTGGGGAGTAAGGAAGTCTGAGGGAGCACAGGGCTTGTGGTTTCTTTGAAGATGTTTGATCAGAATACATCAAGGGCTAGAGATGGTCCCGGTGCCTATGTGATGGCTGCAGCCCAGGCATACTTGCAGGCAGTTCTTCAATTATTTAAAGGTTGTGTGTTTCCTGTACTTCAAGTTATACCAAGCTTCATTCTTGATACTCATACCTATGCTATGAATATTTCTCTTCATAATGCAGTGAAATAAGCTACATGGAATTTGATTTTTATTATGCTGAATTTCCCAATTAAACTCGGTTACTTCTTTTGTTTTATTTCTGTTGTCTTTTAACATTTAGAGTATATATGACTGCAGTTGTTTTCATGTTACTTTGATAAATTTATAATAATAGAACCCTTGATTGCTAACTAAACGATTGGCAGTTTGGGACCAAGATTTAGCAACCTGATCCCATGAAGATTACAGCTTAGCCATATGAGGCAGTTCTACTCTGTCACAATAAGTTGCCATGAGTTGATATCAGCTGGACAGCACCTAGGAACAAACTAGAGTTAGCTTATCATACAACTTTGTGATTGGGGCCTGCTCCAGAAACCAAATCAATGCCTAACTGAGTTGATAATTGAAGCTAATTGTGTATGGTGACTATGTTCATGAAATTGAAAAGATTGTTTTGAAGTCAATATTTAAGTGTCATTGATTTCAAAAAGTATTTTGTACTTGAAATTGGAAAACATGACTTTTATGTATATAATATGTGCTCAATAATGGTTTTTGTTGCATATATTTTCCAGAGAATGTCAATTTGTTGTTCAAGTTATACTGCTTGACAGTGATGACCCTGGTGGCTGCAGCATACACCATAGCTTTAAGATACACAAGGACTTCAGGCAGAGAACTCTACTTTTCAACCACAGCTGTGTGTATTACAGAAGTTATAAAATTATTGCTAAGTGTGGGGATTTTAGCTAAGTAAGTATAAATACATTTTAGTGTGTGAAATTGTTTTTTTCACCTAGTTTTTTTTTTTTTTAATTAGAAAATTCAAGCTACATCTCTATGTTTATTTGCTTTGGAGTAGTAGTTCTTAATCTGGGAAATTTCACCTCTCACCTACCCACCAGGAGATACTTTAATTGTCTCAATGAGGGGAATGCTCCTGGCACCTGGGGGGTAGAGGCCAAGGTGCTGCTAAATATCCTACAATGTACAGGAATAAAGGATTTTCCAGATTAAAGAATTTCCCAGTTTAAAATATCAGTGGTGTCCAGGTCAAAGAACCGTGCTCTTGAGAAGGGATGGGGAAACTATAGGCTTTGGACCAAATCTGTTATTGTTGTGACAATGACCATGTGACTCACAGAGTCTAAAATACTTACCATTTGATCCTTACTGGAAAAAAAAAACATGCTAGCCTTTGCTTTAAGAAAGATAAAGAATAATAATAGACATTCTTGTGTCTTTTATATGTTAAGTGTACTGTGTTAAGTGCTTTTTGTGAATGATCTTAAATTAGAATAAATTATCTTTATTAATTTTTAAGGAAAGTATACTATCATTACTCCCATTTTTCCATACAGCATCTGAAGCTCCTCCAGATCACATTGTTCATATGTGCTATCTCTAGACTTTAAATCAGTGAAGTCACATAGGAATCACATTAGCTAGGATGTGCTTAGTATGAGAGTGTGTTGAGAATAGGGGTTTTGGAGTAGCACAGACTGGCTTTAACTCTAGACTCATTGGAATGATGGGTGTGCATACATTTCTTAACGTCCCGATGCCGTAGTTTTGTCGTTTTTTCTAACTGGAGAAATTAATGTAGAATGAGATAAAATCCTGTAGGTAAATTTATTTAGCATGGTGGTTTCCACACAGTATATCCTTATTAAATGGTAGTGGAGTAGTGGTAGTATTTATATTACAAATAAGGGGTATCATTTGATCAGGCTCAGTTCTTTCTGTTTCTAAAAGTAAGTTCTAAGTGCCAAGTGAACTGATAGTTTTCTGACAGTCTATAAAAAGGAGGATTTTTTTCCCGAGTAGATATGACAGAAACATTTTCTTAGTCATTAAAATATGTGTAGGTGGCTTATAGATGCATCTGAAGTGTTGCTTCAGGAACTTCTAAAGTGGACAGCAGTGAGCACTGACTGCTCAGAATCGTTTGCCTCCATATGCCTATGCTAGACCTAAAGCCAGTGTGCTGACCCACCACTTGTCTTCTTCATCTGCCCCGGTCTTAATAGCTTGCTAGTCTAGAGTGTATTTGTTGGCTGATTGACCTGATGATTAGTGTTCTGACTGTAGGCCACTACAGTTTGATTAAAAAGAGAAAATGTTTTTTTAGGTAAGGCTCTTGGAGGCATATTTTATATATCCTAAAATTCACTGCTGCTAGCATATAGTTCTGTGACTTTTGCCAGATGTGTCCAGTTGTGTAGCTGCTGCCATAATTAAGATGGAGAAGAGTTCTCTCATCTCAGAGCTGCCTCCTGCCCTCTCGTAGTTAGCTTTGCCCTTCCATCCGAGGCTCTGGCAACCATTGATCTATACTTTGTTGCTATCGTTTTTTAATTCCTTGAGGTCATGTAGATGAAATCATATTGTTTATCACCTTGTGTGTCTTCTCTAATTAATGTAATACGTTTAAGATTTATCCACATTGTTAATGTATTAGTACTTAGTTCCTTTCCACTGGATGAACCACAGTTTGTTTATCCATTCATCATTTAAAAGACATTTGAGTTATTTCTGGTTTTATTATAAATTCAATTTCATACTATTTTAGGAAATTTTTGAGGGGCAAGATTAAATTTGTAGGATAGTTTTGTTTGAGAAAAATCAATACTTCAAATTTTATCTTTTTCTTAACTATTTATTTATTTTTTAATCGTTTTATTAGGGGCTCATACAACTCTTATCACAATCCATACATACATCAATTGTGTAAA